TGCTCCAATGGCAAACAGAGGGTCAAATGACTTCAAGCCTGGCAAACAAGCAAAGAAAGACCAGTACCCCTCGGGACCCTCAAAGAATCCGCATCACCACATTATCATGTTTGCCACCTGATCCTAGACCATCATGTTGCCCAATGCTATCAGTCTTCCTGGAGGTCCAAGGTTTCTGGAAAATGCATCCCAAGCCTTGCTTTCTTTGGTAAGGCGTGCTCAAGACTCTCAACATATGCAAGGTTTCTGTTGACAAATCCTAGCGATGCAAGTCCGAAAATACTGATGGAAGTCTTTTCAAACCTCGGCGTTTTTAGTCATCGCTACATGTGTTCCGTTTGCCATGTTGATGCGGTCGCAAGTGGTGAGGCGTCGCAGGTTTCAAGGGAAATGTCTTGAAGGCTTCAAGGTTGTCATGCTTGCCGGAATTCCGCCTTAATTCAGGGGAACTCCCTCCAAAGTCTTGTCTTATACGTTGAAGGCATTGGCAACTTGTCAGGCATTCAGGAAAGAACTGGTTATAATGGTAGCCGCTAGAATCTAGAAGTTACAGCTGTGCAACATGTTCTCCGAGAACCCCCGTCTTGCAGACACGGGGAAATGAGTTGAACTAACTCTCCCCAGAACCAGGATCAATGGTGTGTGTGGGTATGTATGTGAATGCGTAAATGACTGTTTACATACATATACAAATATATATATATATATATATATATATAATATATATATATATATACATTTATTTATTTATTTCCACACAGATACGTCTGAGAACCCATATGCATAATCACATACGCGTACATATTAGCTACTTCGCTGTGATCCAGTGATCCAAACGAAGGCCCCGTTGCCTCTCAAAGGCCAGGCCAGGCCTCCACCACGCGTCGCTTCTTTCGTGCAAGGGGTCGCACGACCTTAGCTGTTGGCCATGGCGGTGAGGCAGTTTTGGCCATCGCCATTGGGGCCGTGTGCAATTGGCCTTCCCTCACTTCTATCGGCACGTGCCTTGCATCTTGCAAAGGGGTTGGACGCCTTTTCATAGAGCGGTCAGTGAAAACAGTTCAATTGCCATTGCTTTTTGCCCAGACCGGCTATGTTCGCATTCTGTGAAATTGAGGATCGGACACCCGGAACTTCGAACTTGGCGTTGTCGATGGCGCCGATCTCGTGCAGGTCTTCGATCTGATCTTGCGACATGCCTGGTGCTATCAACGACTGAGGTGCCCAAGACCTGTTCACCGCTGGTTCTAACGACATGGTTATGAAGGTCTATCGAATCTAACCCTTGCTATAACCTTGAAACGAGACAGACCCAGCCAGCAAAATGGCCAATTTTGGACGTTGCTCAACTGCTACGAGAATGACTTACCTAGAAGGGGTCAAGGAGCACGGCAAGCTTTGGTGCTTTGTCCACTTGTCATTTACAAGTGTATGCCCCCTTCTATCGTTGCCAGCTCCACTTTCCACCTGCATGGCTCGCTGGGACAATCTCATCGTGGAGCGACGAACCACTGACTGCAGCTTGGTAGATTCTGCTTTTTCATGCGGTGCCTTTGCCCTGAAAAAACCAGAAAGGAAGCTGTCTGCGAAGGATTGCGGAAGCTTGAGGCTATGGCAGTAGGCGGCTGCTACAATAGGGGATCTCAACAAAATGCCGCTTTCTCATCGGTTTCCCTTTGAACTCCCTCCAAACAGGGGTCCACAATTTCAGGGCGCAGCCAGACCTTGGACGCTTCCGGCTGCCGAAACTAGCCGCACCAAACCCAAGATGGCGCCTGCGTCAATCAAGACTTGCTCCGTGTGCTCGCCCACCCTCGGCGGCGGAAGTCGATAGTCCACCTGAGACATGTGCCACGATCAGACTATATGGGTCATGGGGGATTCTTGAAACTCAAGTGACAAGCTGACGGAAAATAAATGACACCTGGAAACCTGCATAAAAATATCTGGGGCTTCAGTCCACATGGCAACCTAACCCCCCCCAAACCCGCAAATGGAGCTTCGCTTTCCCTGATGGCTCTCGTGAATGTAGCCACATCCCAAACGCTAGCTACAAACATGCATATACAAATATACAATTATAAAATACACAAAGCCCAGGTCCCTAAAATGCACACTTGCCCTGAACTGCTGCTATTTGTGCACAATGGTACGGTTGCAGCAAACGCCAACACTGAGAACCACTGGTGATTTTGTTTGTCGCACGAAAAAACCTTCGAGGCGTTCTGTTGTTACCCGGAGCCCGGCTGGCCTTGCTCCTGGAGAACTTCATGGGGGATCCAATCAGGGACACGGGCTCGGTGAAACCCGGAAGGTTCATCTGGATCTCCATCTCCCTGTGCTGCACATGCCTCGGTGTAAGCAGATGCAAGAAGAACAACGCGGATTTGATGCTGGAAAACAAGCAGAGGCGAGCGAAGGTTCAACGTGGGGTGAAACAACACCAACGCCAGCGTCCTTCAGGCTTCCACTTTTCAGGATCCTCCCAGGCAAACATAAACAGTCGGTAGTCAGATATGGGGGGAGAAAACTACTTCGAAGGCCAAGAGCTTGTCAAGGTCCGCCTGCCCGAACCTTAAAACAAACGCACCCATCAACCAATTGAGTGCCTATATGAATACACTGCCAATCCCTACGTCGTGGCAGGTGGCTTACGCAGGAGCTAGCGCTTTGCTTACGAGACCCATGTTTTATCTTATGCGGCCAGCGAGCTCCCCAGCCCCTGTTGCCATACAAAGGCTTGCGGGAGAGGTGAATGAACAAATCAGTCTCATCAAAACTAGACCACGGTTGGCCCGAAAGCAGAACATCGCAAGCGAGGTCGGCCCAACGCTGCAGGATGCGTTCTTTTTCCCTACACGAAGCATTTGTGAAGCAAGCGCGAGACAGCACCAGGCAAGGTGCTCTGCGCAAACTGGTCGGTGCAAGTTGGTCTGCGCAAGTTGCTCTACGCAAGTTGCACTGTGCAAGTTGCTCTGCGCAAGTTGCTCCGCGCAAGTTGCTCCGGCAAGTTGGTCCCTGCAAGTGGCTCCCTGCAAGTTGCTCTGTGCAAATTGCGCTCCCTGCAAGTTGCTCTGTGCAAGTTGCTCTGTGCTCTGCGTAAGTTGCTCTGCGCAAGTTGCTCTGCGCAAGTTGCTTTAAAAAAGTTGCAAGTTGCTTGCAAGTTGCATCTTGCGACGCCCGCCCGCGGACCAGGGAGGAATCGAACCCGCGACCCGCCGGTTCCGGGAGCAGGCGCGCGAACCACGAGACAACTCCCGAGGACCAGTTCGAACAACAAAAGTCGCAAAAAACTCGAGTTTTTGCACCTCGACCACGCCGATCCCCGCAGAGGGTTGCGCGAGCACCGCAGAAATCGCAAAAAACCTCGAGTTTTGCACCTCGACCACGCCGATCGCAGAGGGTTTTCGCAAAAAACCATGGGTTTTTGCACCTCGACCACGCCGATCCCCGCAGAGGGTCGCGCGAGCAGGTTAAACATCGCAAAAAACCATGGGTTTTTGCACCTCGACCACGCCGATCCCCGCAGAGGGTCGCGCGAGCACCGCAGAAATCGCAAAAAAACCATGGGTTTTTGCACCTCGACCACGCCGATCCCCGCAGAGGGTCGCGCGAGCAGGTTAGAAATCGCAAAAAACCTCGAGTTTTTGCACCTCGACCACGCCGATCCCCGCAGAGGGTCGCGCGGGAACTTTAGAAATCGCAAAAAACCATGGGTTTTTGCACCTCGACCACGCCGATCCCCGCAGAGGGTCGATTCTCGTGTAGCGTCGTCGGCACTACCCCGCCGCCCTAAGAAGAGATTTTAACTCCTCGCAAGTCAATTGCACTTGACTCCAAGGAGTCATCATTGCAAGGAGTCATTGCAAGGAGTCATTGCAAGGAGTCATTGCAAGGAGTCATTGCAAGGAGTCATTGCAAGGAGTCATTGCAAGGAGTCATTGCAAGGAGTCATTGCAAGGAGTCATGAGAGCCATTGCAAGTTGCAAGGAGCCAAGTGCATGGAGTCAAGTGCAAGTCGCAAGTGCACGGAGTTAAGTGCAAGTTGCAAGTGCAAGGAGCCAAGTGCAAGGAGCCAAGTGCATGGAGTCAAGTGCAAGTTGCAAGTGCATGGAGTCAAGTGCAAGTTGCAAGTGCAAGGAGTCAAGTGCAAGTTGCAAGTGCAAGGAGTCAAGTGCAAGTTGCAATCCTTGCCATGACTCCTTGCAATGACTCCTTGCAATGACTCCTTGCAATGACTCCTTGCAATGACTCCTTGCAATGACTCCTTGCAATGACTCCTTGCATGACTCCTTGCAATGACTCCTTGCAATGACTCCTTGCAATGACTCCAATGACTCCTTGCAATGACTCCTTGCAATGACTCCTTGCAATGACTCCTTGCAATGACTCCTTGCAATGACTCCTTGCAATGACTCCTTGCAATGACTCCTTGCAATGACTCCTTGCAATGACTCCTTGCAATGACTTTCATGATGATGATTCCTTGCAATGACACCTTGTAATGACTCTCATGAGAACAACTCAAGTGAACCCAGCGGAAGAACCCTTCGCCATGCTTTCGGGAAAAACAAGGATCGTCATGCATATCACAGATCAGCTTGCCGCTGACCAGAATGAGGAGCACTCACAAAGGATTCACACCATGCTACTGAAAACCAAAACCGAAAGCCCCTTCACCTCAGCCTGATGGTCGCAAACCAAGACTTGACGGCAAAGCAGTTCGCAGCCAATTTCGACCCGATGAGTTGGCTGTGATCCTTTGGCCAGCCACCGGGCGGTAAGGCCGGTTTCTCCTCTTGCCGAGATGCGGATCTGAGAAGACCTCGTCCAAGTGCAGGATAGGGGCGCCTGGGCGATCATGCTGAAAGGTCAGCTTGTTGAACTTCTGCGTCAAGACTGTTTCTTCGAATCGAGGTTCATTGGAAAACACTCTTCCAGGGGCTTTGGCAACTTTCGTATTGGGGCAGCGACTTTCAAACTGCCAGAATGACTACCGCAGAAGCTGCACGGATGTCGTTGTGGCGAGCACCTGATGGAGGACCACTGCGCAGGTCAGCATAGGCTTGCTTGCGACCAATCCATTCCGAGCCATAGCTTTTGGTCTCAACAGCTCTGAGATGCACTTAGAGTGGATTTTGATACGGCCCAAAAAAAGCCACATCTTCGCCCAGCCTCGGCAGCGACTTCGTATTTTTCTTTGGGTAAGGGCCAGGTTGAGATCCAAGTTGAAAAAGCTTCGGCCCGGAGGTGCAACTTTTGTTTTTTCGGAGGGAAGTAAAATGAAGTAAATCACGGCCAGCAAATCCGAGGGTATGCCTCCGAGACAATCCTGGCATCGCAGCAAACTCATTGAAAAATTGTTTTACAAAGGATCACGCTGCTCGTTTTTGCTTGTTCAAGCACAGGCTGCCAATGGCCACTGGTGATAAGAACGTCAAAGGCAAGCCAACCCTCCAGAAAGGTCAAACAAGCAAACAAGCAAACCATGCGCATCGTCCGCAGTCACACAGGATTGTGTTTCTTCACGGGTTGCTCCGAAATTCCCAGCACAACGGTATAGATGTTTCTCCGCTGGCAGAGGGAAAACGTACAAAAATCGAGCCAATACTCTTCTCTTAAGCTTTGCTCATATGAAGTAGGAACAGCCAAAGCAGTACCCCTGCTTTGGCATTCCCCGCGAGCCTGCCCACCACCCCACCCGGGTCCACCCGGGTCACCCGCTCCGAGGCGCAGCCCACCATCTCCTTCTCGAGCTGCTCCAACCACCAGAGCTTCTCGTGCTGGCTGGTGATCTCGTTGAGCGTAGGGGTGACCACGTCCCGGTGCACCACCCGGGCCTTCCTTGGAAAGCGATTCGTTGGCTATAAGGACCTAAACAATTAGAGCTTATGAAAGCACACACACACGCACAGCCTTTACCCCCACCCACCCATGGGACAACATAGGTGGGAAGCTTGTGGAAGCCTTGAGGAAGCCTTTGGAAACCTGGAAGCTTCCACGCAAAGCCGAGAGAAGCCTGGGGGATGCTTACAGTAAGGAAGCATCGGGGAAGCTTCCAGAAAAGGGGGCGCCGCCGCGGCCGCCTTCCCTCTCTGCCGGGCCAGCAGTGCCCCTTCCCAGGGCAAGCCTGTGAAGGAATCTAAACAAATGCCACAACAGCCCTATAACAATCCCGCAACATATCTAAAAAGGAGGAGGTAAGGAGGGGTGTTTATGCGCTTACAAGAGCGGAGTTCTTGGGTACTATAAAGCCACATTACCTCACGATCATGGCAGAATGCTTGTTAAGTCCTACGGGACGTTTCAACAAGCGCCCTAATGCAGCTTTCTGTTAACATGAGAACCATTTACTGACCTTTTGGCTATCTCCCCAACCTGGAACGGCTCAGGTTCTCCAAGTTGCAGGCCCCAAAAAAATGCTGGCATGTGCGTTCGCAACTGGGCGAAGTCACTGTGAGCTCGATTCCCAGCCATTCATGCGATGGGACGTAAATAGGTGTGTATACATAGTAGGAGCAATTGACTGGCAACAGCCAGAGAGGCATTTCAGGATTTACTGGTAGTAGGTCATTGACTATTTATTCACAAGGCATGGGGCATCCCAATGGTATACTTTGGTCGCAAAGATGCGCTGTTTCACTCAAGAAGTTTGCCCTAACATTCAAATGTTTGCTACTTGCTGGCCTTTCACCTTCAACAGCAATGATGTTCCGAGACAAGATGCGCGTTTCCGCGAACAAGGGCGGGCAGAGCTGGCAAATGGGCCCATGATCATGTTCAGGTGAGCAATGGCTGGCATCCGCCTTTCTCTCATTGTCCCAAAATGGTGCTGCGAACTTGTTTTGGATCCCTGTATTACAGTATTGCAGAATGATGAGGGCAAATATGGACCAACACATACTTGCATTCGGTTCAAATTTAGTTCTACAGATTCTACCGAACTGGTCAACCAATGATTACACGGCCTCCTTACACTACCCTCGCTTTCCATAACCGGCGAGTTGGGTTTGTGGCGAAGAAACCGCCGCAGCACGCCATCCATCCATCCATCCATCCATCCAGCCAGCCAGCCAGCCAGCCAGCCCGCAAGCAAGCAAGCAAGCAAAGCAAAGCAAGCAAAGCAAGAAATTCAAGCAAAGCAAGCCAAGCAAGCCAGCCAGCCAAGCATGCATGCAAGCAAGCAAGCAAGCAAGCAAGCAAGCCAAGCAAGCCAAGCCAAGCCAAGCCAAGCCAAGCCAAGCCAAGCAAGCAAGCAAGCAAGCAAGCAAGCAAGCAAGCAAGCAAGCAAGCAAGCAAGCAAGCAAGCAAGCAAGCAAGCAAGCAAGCAAGCAAGCAAAGCAAGAAGGCAAGCAGGCAAGCAAGCAAGCAAGCAAGCAAGCAAGCAAGCAAGCAAGCAAGCAAGCAAGCAAGCAAGCAAGCAAGCAAGCAAGCAAGCAAGGCAAGCAGGCAGGCAAGCAAGCAAGCAAGCAAGCAAGCAAGCAAGCAAGGAAGCAAGCAAGCCAAGCAAGCCAGCCAGCAAGCAAGCAAGCCAAGCAAGCCAAGCAAGCCAAGCCAAGCCGAGCGAGCAAGCAAAGCAAGCCAAGCAAAGCAAGCCAAGCAAGCAGACAAGCAAAGCAAGAAGGCAAGCAAGCAAAGCAAGCAAGAAAGCGAGCAAGCAAGCCAGCAAGCAAAGCAAGCCAAGCAAGCAAAGCAAGAAGGCAAGCAAGCCAAGCAAGCAAGCAAGCCAAGCAAGCCAAGCAAACAAAAAAACAAACAAGCAAGCAAGCCAAGCAAGCCAGCAAGCCAGCAAGCCAAGCAAGCCAAGCAAGCCAAGCAAGCCAAGCAAGCCAAGCAAGCCAAGCAAGCCAAGCAAGCCAAGCCAAGCCAAGCCAAGCCAAGCAAAGCAAAGCAAAGCAAAGCAAAGCAAAGCAAAGCAAAGCAAAGCAAGTAAGCAAGCAAGCAAGCAAGCAAAGCAAGAAGGCAAGCAGGCAAGCAAGAAAGCCAGCAAGCCAGCAAGCAAGCAAGCAAAGCAAGCAAGCAAGCAAGCAAGCAAGCAAGCAAAGCAAGAAGGCAAGCAGGCAAGCAAGCAAGCAAGCAAGCAAGCAAGGAAGCAAGCAAGCAAGCAAGCAAGCAAGCAAGCAAGCAAGCGAGCGAGGGAGCGAGCGAGCGAGCGAGCGAGCAAGCAAGCAAGCAAGCAAGCAAGCAAGCAAGCAAGCAAGCAAGCAAGTGAACAACTAGCGCGGTTGAGGCTCATGGTATTGAACTTCTCATTCTCCATGAGATCCATACGGCCCGCCACCTTGCAAAAGCGCTCGAACTGATCATTGTTGGACGCCGTGAGGATGAAGTAACCTCACTGAGGAAATTGGCTTCGTGGGGAAAGAAGTCAACGACCAAGTGAGGCCTCTTGGTACATTTCTGCCCAGTGTGTTACTGCAAAGAATGCAACAAAGCGCCTTTGGGTGCATTGGGGAACCTCTTCAAATAGTTCACGGGTCCTCAGGCGGTGATGGCTGATATGTACTCTAAATTGGTCCTGGGTTAGAGTTCCTACAACTGGGCCGCCAAAGATGAGCCAAGGAGCCATCCTTCGCAGGCATGACCTGATACGGCACCACGTTGGGGTGGTTGTTCCTCAGCGGCGGCTGGAAGGAATGTCATACCAAACACCATCCATCTGAATGGCTTTATTCAATACGGTTTCTGTGTGTAGTTGTGGAACAACTGTGAAACGTTCGGTATCTGCAACTTTGTCAGCAAGCTTTTTCAAGCCTATCACGCAAGAGTACTGACAGAGGCTTACCGGACCTGGCATCTCACTTGCAGGGTCACGGGAAAAATCGAAAGCCATGTCAGCATGTGGGTATTTCCATTTTGGGTTACCCTATTTGTCACCCACAGCCATGTCTTGCCCAAGGTGCCCGACCCGCTTCTGCCGCTGCTTCTTGGCCAAGTAATTCATGCCCTGGTTCGCGAGCAACGCCACTGCCACGTCCAGCATGGAGATGTCGACGTGCTGGCCCAGCCCGGTGTTGTGGCGGTTGTTTAGCGCCGCCAGAATACCAATCACCTAGACGTGAGCTGGTGAACGAAGAGGCTTTGCAAGCCAATGTCCGCTCGAGTTGCTGGAGATTGGTGGAGTCCACCTTTGACCCTGACTTGAATGAGCAAAGCAACAAGGGGCGGACAGGGCACCGCCAGAAACTGACGAAACACGGGCAACGCCTGCCCTTGTCCCTGGTCCCTTTCCTCGGTGTACAGCAAATTCCGCTATCCTAAAGCAGGTACATGCATGATGCATGAGCGTATCTGCTTGTCTCGAGTTTATGGATGGTTGAGTGGCTGAGGCCTCTTCGCATGTGCACAGAAGACTCGAACATGCCTTCTGATTGATTCACCTTTGGGTATGGTTGAATTTCACTTCCAAGGACCCCAAAGACAAAGCACGGACAAGGAACCACCACGCCAAACATTCATGACATGAGTCACATAAGGCTAATCATCAGAAGATGGAACCTTTAAAAAATATCCGCCTCCGCCTGTCATATGTTTGATAGGGCCTGGTCCATACACGTACAAAGTGAACCTGAACATGCGAGAAGGTCGCAAAAAGAGAAAATCCAGAAATTGGTCTCGGAGAAGAAGAAAGGAACAGCCACATCCAAGACATCTCTGGTTTTGGGCTTCTGGCTCCATGGAGGCCCGCGGTGAGGTCGAAAAGGGACAGGCCGGTCTTCATGGGAGCGCCGTCCGGCTCCCCCGTGAGGCTCATGGATCCGCCCATGGCCTGGACGCAAGGGGTCGGGTACGAATCGGGATGAATGCGATCAGTTGCATTCCCGATGGTGGAGGGTTTCCTGAGTGGAAGGCGGAGGGTGGAAAACTTGCCCTTCGTTGGGGGATCGTGGGAGGTGAGGAGCAAGCTGGCGGACAACTCTCATAGCAGTCAGGCGGATGGAGCGGTTTGGAGTACACCTCACTGGGCTAGCATGGCAAAGCTGCAACGCAAGGCCTAGGCAAGAATCCTCATACGAAATCAGAAGGCTCGCGTCTTGTCTCATGGGAACAGTTCTCTTTTGCCCTCCGAGAACATGTTAACATTTGCAACTGCTAGCGTCGGGTCCCTGCAGGCATTGCTTTCAACGAGGGATTCATGGCCGCCCCCCCCCCCCCACATCTATTTATTACTCCTACCTCGGGTCCCAAAGTTCCCGAGAAGTGGATGAGACCCACTGGACGCGAAGTCTGCCATCCTTTTTTCAAGCACATCCCTCGCCTGGATGAGCATGTCGTAAGCAGGCCTCTTGCTGTAAGGGCCGCTGTGGCCAAAGCCGGTGATGCTGCAGTAGATGAGGTTGGGAAAGTCGTCCTTCAGCTGAGGATACCCAAGGCCATACCTCACTTTGACGTCCGGCAAATTCCGAGACACAAACCGAACGCCTGTGTTGTTGCCAGTTCGAGGCCCGGGAAGCACATGCTGCCAGCAACTTGGGCTTCACCTGCTACGGCACCCCAATTGCTAATTGACGCATTCTGGCCTCCATTTCGGCGCGTCTGAGTCAAAATAGGCGTCCAACATGCTTGGTACTCATCGGGCATCCACCATGCGGAGTTGCACTTCATGTTGGTCTGTGTCGGCAAGGAACCGCCCGCACAATGCCATCATCCGAGAAACTTGCATTGACAGCGACCTTCCTCGAGTCGCGAGGAAAACCGAATTGATCCAGAATGCGGAGCACGAACAATAGATGGCGAAACATGATTAAGACAGCAGCACACCAAGAAATCAGACCTTGACCCTAAGCCACTTGTTGACCAAGCGACGAACACTCCTGATAAGGACCCTGGACCCTGAGGGGCGCAACTCGACTTCCCAGGTTGACAGCCATTGGTCCCTAAGCATTCAAAACTTGTTGACTTAAAGGACAAACACCTAGCACCAACTCCAACAGAGGGAACCCAGTTACCCAGTTTTTTTCCAACCCCCCAAACCTGGCGTTTTGTACCACGATTCTGCACTGTAGTTTCTTTCCCCCTCCCTCGCCTCCCCTCCCCTTTTTCTTGGATCCGAGGAGCTTCGCCAGGCCGCCAGCCTTAAAGTTCTCAATGAGCACGTCGCTGGTCTGCAGCAGGTGCTTCACAACCTCCTGGCCTTCCTGGCAAGGCGTGCTCGAGGTGCGCGCGCCGAGGCACGTGGCCGGAAATGAGAGCAGGGCATTGGTTTGGAACTTGAGCAGGAACAAGGGGGCCGAGAACTACTCCAACACGGGCGTACCCTGACATCCACCAAGAAATCCCACTGAATCCACTGAGAGGTGTTGGCTGAGTTGGTTCAACAGTCAACCAACAAAACGGAATTCTGCCGATTGTTGAGGCCCGTTGGAGCTGCCGGCGGTTGTACCACTGGTGCTGAGATGGCTTGAAGCGTGGGGTGAATGGCTCGTTACTTGAACGTGCGGTTCGCATGGGTTGCCTTACTTTGTAGGAATTGGGTGAACCAGAAATAAGTCATCCAGTCATCCAGTAGTTTTTGCGCAGAGGTCGCCATTCACCGAGACCAGTGGGATCCGGTTCTGTTTGCTGTGGACAAAGGCACTCTCCGACTGCCAAATCCAGGCCGAACCAGAGCCGCGGCTCACAAGGCGATCCAGCAGAGTCAATCGACGCTGCCACACCCATTTTTGCCCACGGCCATGGGTCAAAACCCCGGTTAGCCCCCAGTGAACATCCCAATCCCCACTAAAATAGGTTCTAAAATGGGTGAATCAAAAATGGGATCCCATTGAAGTTTGACAACCACAGCCACGCGCCTTCGTCTTGAAGTCCACCGCGATGCTGTACTTGTTCCTGTTGCAGCTCGAGAAGTACGCCGCCACGTCGGAATCCTGGCGCGGGATCCGGCTCGATTCCCTTGGCCGCAAAGCGGCCATGCGCGGGGCTTGTGCAGATCGCTGTCCGCAAGTGAACGGTTCAGCCCTTCGGGGTCAGCTCTGTTTGCAACGCACCTTTTGTCTGGTAGAACAGAGACATGCCACAAACAACATATTTCCCCCCCCCCCCCAGAAACACCCAGACCTAAGGGGGGGCTGGCTGGCATGGCGGCACCTGCCTGGCCAGGCTCTTTTTGCAGGAACGGAGGCGCATAGCCTCAGGCTGGGTTCACAGTGGCTGGTGGTCAAAGAAGTTGGTCCCGGTAGGATCCCAGCCGCCCTGCTGCCCTCAAGAGGCCGAAAGCAAAGCTGAAGCAAAACATCTCAAACACCTGAAACGAGTTCGGACAAGTTATGTTGGGCTTGGCAAAGGCGCATGTGAACGATTTAGGGTGACTGCTGCGAAATGCAAAAGCCAACCAAGCATTTCAGAAACACAAGCAAAAAAACACATCACCAGAAATCAATGCTTGCCTATCTCTGCTTGGCACTGGACAGTGCCTCGCACGTGATTTAGAGTAACTACGCTTGATTTGGGCAAGCGTTCGCAAGCTTGCGCGTCAGCGTTAAAGCCTTCTGTCCCATCGCAGTGTCCACTGGTCAGCAGACGTGTTTCCGCTTAGCCAACTAAACATGCCGAATGATCAAGAAGACCTTCATACATCTATATCATGTACGATCTGGATGTCCCCATACGTGCAGACGTGCAGACTCTGGGCGACCCCTTGCTTTATGCTTCAAGCGGCAAGTGGACGCAGACCAGGCTTCGAGAAAGCACCCAACCAGCCCGAGTTCCGCAGAGGACACGGTCCCCCTTTCCTTCCGAGTTGCGCCGGGTGTCGTCACCAGACTTGGGCGCCTCCACTTTGATCACCTCTCGCGCCCGGCAAGCACGGAAAATGGCGGCAATGCTCCCAATGGAACGACCCGTCGTGCAAGCGGTAGCACTCCAGAATGATGGTGGTAACAAAGCCGTGGCAAAGCGTGTGTGAAAGATACACGCGGCTTGAACAAGCACAACGCTGGGGTGTAAGGTATTTCCAAGCATTCACAAAACGGTGCAAGCGCTAAAAGGAACCTCGGGCAGGCTCCACGTCGATACTTTCTCTGGACTCTGATGGCCGGCCTAGTCCTCTGGTCTTGAAGAAATCCCTCCCCTCCTAGGCGACGAGACGAGATGCACCCTGCCTCTGCTCCCATATCAGCCATCAGCATTGTGGCAGAGGGGCCTGCAAGCACGTGGACAAGCGTAAAGGACGGTCTGATACCTACGCCATAGAATTTCTGAAATGGGACCAACTCACTTCATGGGATGAGCCCAAGGTAGTCTGAATGTTGGGCGGTTCCCACCGACCTGATCTTCCCACAAGGCCTCAAGAGCTGATTTCTGGAAGTGAGCATCAAATCCTTGAAGCCAGTTGAATGCTGCGGCTTCTAAGAAGCCTTGCCAAACTTCAGGTCAAGTGCCCGCCCAATGGGTGTACAAAGAAACAGGCGTTGATCGCTCCCTCCTAACAACTCGCGTTCGTGGCTATGGCCATGGACTCGAGCCCAACGCGCCCAGTCCTGCCAGAATCCGGGAGAGGTCAAGAATGCGAAGTCCTGCAGGCATCTAACCCGCTGGAAAAGGTGGAACAGCCCTCCCCGCAAGTGCGAAGAAGCGGATCAGTGCGAGTCCAGCAATCCAGAATCCATTGCAACTCCAGCAAACTGATTTTGGTACCCCAAGAGCAGCATCTTTGAGCACAGTCCTGGGTGCTATATTCCGAATGATTGCCGTGAGGCAGCGGAAAACATGTTGGGTGCCAACAGATGTATAGGCCAAATGCCCGGTGAACCTGGTAGAATCAGAGACAAAGGAAGACCTTTCCGGGGAACAATCTTAAAGGGGAACCCACCAAACAAAAAGGGAAGCCATGCCACTGAAAAAAAAGGGACAACTAAAATCGTTTCAAATCCCAAAGCATTGGCTTGACCACTTTCCGGATTTCAGCTCTCCTGCGAGCGGCCCGGAGGGCGGGGCGGTGGACAAGGAAAACCCGCGGGTCGCCAGGAGGCGGAGGGCCGAGCCCTTTGGTCTGCACAGCTGCATCATGGCCTAGCGCCGAACAGGGACGTGCATGTGGCCCACATGTCTCAACCCACGTTCCCACGTTGATGGTTGAATACTTGACGGGGGAACCCTAAGTTTGAGCTTTTCGGGCAAGCGGCCACAAGTGGACCTTGATAGCGGCAGGGCAGGAATGGGCCGACAGTGAAAGCAAACAGGGCGGGCTCGGGGAAAAGTGAGATGGGCAAACAACTGTAGGCTGAAGGGACTAGAGCACAACCAGTTTCCCAACTCAACAATGACTGCAAGCGGTACGGAACCTTTCGAGCATCTGATTGCCGGCCGGATTTGACTGCGACGTTGACTAGATGTTCCTAGCCAAAGCCGTAAAAATAGCTGCAAAACACAAAATACGTTGAAGTAGAGCTTTCCAGTCCACTGGTCGGAAGACCTCAAAACTCTGCGAGTACAAACTGACCAAGTGAGAGATGCCTTCTGTTGTCCACACACACATACACACCCACAGGCAGGGGTACCCAGCAACATGAGCCCAAATGTCTATCCGACCAAATTGCCGCTAGGTCCTTGACATTCCAAAGCTGGGGCTATACAATCGCGGCATCGCAACCGATTTACATTGAGCTGCTGTCAGACACTAGTAACGACAAACTTCACGAACGAGCCCAGCTCAGTTTCCCGTACACATGACAACTCTTGCCTCATGGAACACACCTCAAATACTCGAGCCGAATCATGGTGATTCGAAATACCACATGAATCCTGGGAGGTGCGGAGAAACCACTGTACGACCCCCATGAAACATCCATGAGAGTCTGTGACCTGCCACCTCTTGACTTCTCATTGGACTTACGTCGAATCAGAGGCGATCTCCAAGGCCGGCGCGCCGAATCAAGTCGGAACCTGTTCGCACTTCGAGCCAGGCAAAAGCTGCGGGACCGCAGCATGCTGCATGCCGCAACCCACGGAGGGGGTCCAAACTGCCGGTTTTGGAAAACGGCGCCATGTTGGCCAAGGCACCATGTTGTCAACTCAGGTCTCGGAGTGGGGAGCGCTCATGGTTGCCTTCCTTTGGCCGTCCCAAGCCGGTCCGAAACTTTGAAATGGAAGCCATCGTGGGCGGGAGGCATCCAAAAGGATTGCCCCTTCTTCGGTTGCTCCCCCCTGATCAAATAAGAGCCTAAACGAGTGCCGGAACAATCAATTGGCTGTGATTGAGTTTAGGGCAAATCTTGCCAAACATGGGCAAATCTTGCCAAAGATGGGCAAAGCAGCCAAACATGGGGTAGCTATCCCCACATTGTTAGACCGCCAAGCCCAAGAAGTGCACTTCTGGGCCAGAAACGAGAAAGCTGTGGAGAGCAAACATGCAATTTGGGGAAATCGACACTTCGTATTCTCCAAACGTCAATAGACTCAAATGGCAGAAACTCCAGCAACTTGCTGGCTTGTAAAATTGCGTCTGCCACATGAGATCTTCATTGCTGTCGCACAAGCTCCAGACTGCACACCCGACTTTTGCTGCGGCTAACTGGGTGAAGGGTCAGGGTCATTTGATCCCTGAGGCATTGGCGACATGCCCTTCGGGCATTTGGGACGCGCGCTCCGGCTGCAAAGATAGCCTATGATAGCTTGAAAGATTTCGCAGAAGAATCAAGGCATTGCCGGTACTGAAAGGTTTGCGAGCCAAATAAGCCATGAACATGTTCCAAGTGTGCTCAGCTCTTTAGCACAAACATGGCTACCACTGAAGGCATTGCGCAAGGAACACATGTCAAAGAGAACGTCATCCGACATGGTCCAGTCAACGGGAATACCAGTTGGATTCTCTCCGGTGGTTCATCAAGACCTCACTGTGATTCCCCAACTATGAAATTCGACATTTCCCTGAATGTTCAACAAGATGCCCCTTGCTTTTGGCCAACAAGTATGATTCAGAAAAGTGTACGTTGGCTCGACAAACGCCAGGAACAGCACGTTGACCGTCCTTTGGAGCGCGCGTCCCTTTCGTGGAACGCGAAAAAAAAAAACGGTCACCACTTCTTGATCCGCTGCGGCTCGATGCGATCCGCGGCGCAAGTGGTACAGGAGCTGCAGCGATTGATGCAGGCGGGCAGAGTCACGGGGATGGTGACGAGCACTACCTCAGGGAGCTGCTGATGGTGCATTGGGTGCGACTCAAAATTAAACAGTCGGTGTTACGCAGGTGTTAGTCTGTGTTTCCATTTACCAAGGTGCCATTTTGCTACATCTTTTTGACCCACAGCCATTTCGACCAAAGTGGCCCCGAAAACAAGGAAGAATCAGCTTGGCCACCAGATTGACAAGAAAACGACTCCCTCTGTGCGCCCCATTGTTGAACTGCATCCATGGCCGTTGGGTAGACACCCCCCGACTCTTGCAAAGGCCAAGCGGGTGCCACTGAACAGCTGGGAGTTATATGTGCCTTTGAACATCCCTCACGAATCTCAACAAACATTGGCACTAATGGCGCTGCAGACACCCAAGGAAAACCGAAGCAGCGATCCGGATCCCTGAGCTGAGCTGAGCTGAGCCGCCGAGTCGTCTTGCTTTTGCAAGCGGCTCTTCAGCGACAGCTCCCGCTCCTCTGCTTCCTATCGGCAAAAACCGGGCCCGGACGCTTGCAGTTGCCACCCAGTGCAGAGGGCCGTTCGATAGGAGCAAACCTTTAGATCCGCCCAGACCATGCGCCTTTGCCGTTGCTTACCAAACATACTGATGAGAATGATAAGAGTTCGCTCCCTTCGTGAGACAAAAGATCCCCAAGGAGGAATCCTTAGTCATCGCCCGAGAGGCTGGGTTTCTGGGTTACCATCTGAAAACTTCAAGAGGGGAAGTTCCCCCCTCCGCCCTGTGAGGCCCACCAGCTGGTGCAAGCTCCCCCTATCTGTCGAGAAGAGCCCCTGCACAAGCTGGACCCAAAGAAGTCAGAAACCATCCTGTGTCCTACCGTGTTTTGTGTTTTTGTTTTTACCTTTTTGAAACGGTCAAAGCCAATGTGGTGTCAATCATCTTACAGGAACGGCCGAAGCAAAATAGGGGTGCCCTAAAAAAGTTGGCGTCCTTGTTGTTTCCCTTGAAATCTCCAAAAGGGGGTCCACCATTTTGAGCAACCGCTGTCAAATGGGTGTGGGTCAAAAATAGGGTAACCCCGAAATGGAACCCTGGTAAATGGAACCAAGGGCTAAAACCTGCGGTCCCCTCGTGGCTTAATATTCACCCATACCCAAATATCCCAAAGGGGGTCCACCATCTTGAGAAACCGCTGTATGACCGACCCAACCCAGGGTTCCATTTTGGGTACCTATTTTTGACCCACAGCCAAATGAGCCCAACCGACTCGAAAAAAATCAAATCAAACTCCTTGAGCTGCTGCTCTGCCATGAGCAGCTGCTGCTTGAGCTGCGCGAAGTGCTGCGCAGCATCCTCCGGCACCTCCTGAGTCAGCTGAGTACCAAACTGCCAGAGCCATCGCTCCACAGGAACAACCCTAAGGCCAATTATGGACGTCCATTTGCTTAAGCCCCTGGAAACAATGAAAGTATTTCCAGTAGTGATCGATTCCTTTTAAAACCAACAGGGGAAATTAAACATTTTCTTAAACACTTGGAAGTGGATTTGTCTGTTTGGAGGGTAACCGATTTTGTGGTTTTAAAGGACACCAAAAGGAAAACCACCACCTCTCCACCGTGACAAGCGTAGCAGCTTAGCAGGCCTGCCGGTTGCCCACTTCCACGCCTCCTTCTCACTCTTCACCCAAATGTTTTGCAGCACCTCCTCGACCCCAATTCGCGACCTCGTCTCTTCTGAAGGCCCCGGGGCTTGGCTTGGAATGTGGCGCCTTCAAAATGGTCCATCTGTCCATCTGCTCCAATCAAATGTATCGCTGTGGTTAAGCCCCTATGAAGCCAACCCTCTGCAAACAAAGAGGGAGACACATTCCCAGTTGTTTCCTGAAGGCAAGCACGCCCCGGCAAACAGCGGGGGCAACATCTTCATATCCAAGCCACATCGAACCGAATCGAATGCCAGTCTCTGACTTGGACTCCGGGCATCCCCTTTCCATATCCACCAAATGCTCAAGGGTAGCTTTTCACCACCTCCATCTACCACATGCTCAAGGGTGGCTTTCAACCATCTCCATTCCGGGAGCCAAAAACACAAAACGCCGCGCCAAGCCATGCCCACCCCTTGCGCCCCGCCTGGGCTCCGGCGCGAGCATGCGGCGGCAGAGGTCCTTGGCCTCTGGCGCCACCGCCACGCCCAGCAGCTCCCCGAACCTCCGGCGCCAACGAAGTCGCGTCGCATCGACGCAAAACAGGAAACCAACCAACCAAACATGAGGCATGAAACCAAGCATCCATAAAATCATGGAATCGGCCAGTTATTCCAAACCTAAGGGGAAGCGAGTACCTAAGCTTAACAGTTTTGGGTGCTCAGTGCTCGGAGAGAGGTTCATTTACCTCCCTGTCAATGTTACCCCACTCGTCGTGAATTGCTCGGATGTGTTGAATATGGGGTGGACAAAATGACAAAGGCAGAATAATGAGACGGGGTTGGATAAGTTGATTGGAGGCGGTGCAAATTGGCAAGGGGTAGTATTACCTGCTGGTAATATGAGGCACAAAGGGTCAGCAGAAAGGCCCCATCCCTTTCCCCCTACATGCCATGGTAAAGGAGCTGCTTGCTCGGGACCGTGCCATGCGCCCTTACACCAAAGTAGAGTAAAAACGGGAGCAAAAGCGAACCTGCCTAGGTCTCTCTCATGAATACAGCGTTGCGAAAGTGTCAAAAAGCAACTGGGAATCCATCCAAAAGGGAAAAAACACCGGATGGGTCACCGTGCCCGCGAGCCGAGTGCCCATCCCGGGCACATAGAAAGACCGAAGTCCGCATTTCCCTTGAGGAGGTTCGCCATGTCCAGGGAGTTCTTGGAGGTCACAAAGGGGTGGCGGCCATTCGACAGAAACCTACAGGCTTGGCAGCTTGGTCAATTGGGATGAACCAAATGGCTGTGGGTCAAAAGTAGGTATTAAAATGCAACCCTGGTCAATGGAACCAATGACTAAAGCCTGCGGTCCCTTGGTGGTCTAATTTTGACCCATACCAAACAAAGGTGGTTGAAAAAAGGATAGTGAAGACTCAGCTTAGATTTGCTCATCAGCTTCTTGAAGACACCCTCAGGGAACAACTCTGTCCAAGCTTTCTGTTCTGTGGCCGGGCGGGTTGACACCAGAAGCTGAGACACCGAGCATGCGAGAGTGGCTTGGAAACTGATGTGGGCAATCATTGATCGTATATGGGTATGGTCAAAATAGGGGACCCCAACATGGGTGTTTGTTCTCTGGTGTCCTGTTAAACCAACCCGAAAAGTGGTGCCACCAAACCAACACACACCCATATCCTTTCCGAAGATTCCTCGATAATTCCAAAGGCAATACTAGAGCAATGCTAACACAAGTCTACACCTGTATTAAGCAGCACTTGCTGCGAGACTGCTTGAGCAGGCCCAACTCTGACCCCCCAAGTTGTTTTCAGGGCGTTCCCTATTGACCCCCCAATCTGTTTCAGGAAGGGTGGAGTGGGGTGGGGTGGGGTGGGAGGGGCCTTTTCTAATCAACCGCTGGACATGCTCGCGCGATGCTGCCTCTGCTCGGAACAGGCCAACATGAGGATGGCTGATCACATGTTCGTGAGGATTGCCTGCGTACCGTCCCACTGTCCTCTGTCCCGCAGTTTGATTCGCGTTCAGCCCGAAAACGAGAGAACTCAGCAAAAATAGAATGTGCATGAATGTCCGCTCGATTTCAAACTCGAGACAAGTGGCAAGCCTCCTGAACCTGCCTGAACAAGTAAAGTCCATTTGATGTGATTTACATCAGTGCAAAAGCGGGTGTGGATCGGCAAATGTGGAATATCACTCATTTGAACAAGACAACTTGACTCACTGCGACTGCAGTCATCAGAATGTGGCAACCAATTGCTGGACGCTTGAATTGGCAGCTTGACCAGCATTAAAAACAAAAAAAAGTGGATTCGGGGTCGGGCCATCCAGTTTAAACATGTTTAACAAGCACGATTGTTTAAACATCCTCGATTCAGTGTCCTCCTGAAGGGGGCCATGTTCTAGTTGGTTGAACCTATCTTGTCCAACCCTAGTTGGGATAGTCACAGCTTCAGGCAAGTGTCTATCCAGCGAAGTCAGAAACTGACTTAAAGATGCCTGAGAGATGTGTAAGATCATGGGGCTGTTGGGGCAGGCCAAAGTTTGCGACTCATAAGGCTGCTTTCAGCCAAAAAGAATGCTTAAAAAGCCGCCTCTGCTCATCGCCAGCTTTCGGAGTGTGGTGTGCCCATCTCTTGCAAAAGGCAACCCTCATTGGGCCTTGCTCAACTTGCAAGTACGGTCAAGCTAACCAGGATTCTGCGGAGGTCGATCAATCAACCACAAAGCGGCCCCTTCTGATCTGCCAGGAATTCAGGCAACTGGGATTCTCACCCCGGCAACAAGCATGGAAGTACATGGGCTCCCTAGAGGAACGTAGTCTTCCAAACGGATCTGTCCACTTCCATGCGTATTTCTGGGGGAGTAGTGGAGAAACAGCCTCCGGCGATGTGTAGTGCAAGGTGCATATGAAGCATGCAGCCAGCAGCCCAAACGTCCACAGAGTGGCTGTATCCAGGGCCTCAAATCCCAAGGCCCAAATGGCGAGTTTGCCAAAACCACACCATCCTGGAGATTCACCCAGAAAACGGGAAGCCACCAAATGTTCAGAGGAAATCTTTTGGGAAAGAACAACATGTGTGGGTTCCATTCGAATTTGGGGAGTAGTAACAATGGAATTGCCGATAAAATGTCTTCTCTTGGATGTCGACCAAGCTCTGCAAAGCCCAATAGCCTTCAATACTCACGTGTCGGAGGTGGGGAGGATTTGGGCACATACAAATAACATCATGCCCTTCATATGCACCATTTGAACAGCCAGCTTCGTGAAGTCTCGGCAAAGGGCGGAAGAGCTTACAATTGTTCTCGCACAAAGAGCACGTGATTCATCATTGTTGAATCATCATCAGCTCTTTTGATCAATCCTAGACAGCTCTTTAGAACATGGCACTCGCAGAATGTGAACTGCCTTGCCCATAAAGCCGGTCAAACCTTATACAAGCGCCTCGTGGAAGGGACTTTCGCTTTCTCCGCAGCTCAGGTGTGGATGTTGACAAAGCGCCAAGCCAACTGAATATTGACCCGACATCCTCAAATTGGGTGTGTCAAAATAGGGAACCTCCTAAATCAGTGATGTCCGTTTGGCTCCCTGCAACACAACCCCCGAAAAAGGATACCCTCAAAACAAGACATACCCACGTGTGATGATGAGATCCACCCAGCCGATCACCAATCCATTCAATCTGCTTGTCTGCCTCAGGTTCAAACCAAGCAGCATCCCTAGTGCTTGCAGCAGTAGCTGCAAGCTCAGCTTGACAATCACCCAACTCTTAGAACAAGCTGTGGGTCATTGATCCGCACGAGAGAAATCAAGTTCAAAATTTGCCAATTTCATCCTCCCCTCCTCCCGTGGGGAATTGTTACTAAGTACGGCGGAGATTGGAGGGGGCCGCCAGGCCATTGTGTTCTGGGTAGTGGGGAGTTACAAGAGTTTCGGACATGCAGAAAAACCGTGACAGGAAAGCATAGGGCTGAAAATCACCAGGGATGAATCTCTCGTTCCCCGAGACCCAAATGCCCAGGCTCCGCCCTTGCTCAGCTGATGTTGCTCCGGAGCCATGAAGGCCGGGGTCCCCACGTCCTGGGAGCCGAGCCAACAGCTGGTGACTCTTGTTTAGGGAGAACGGGATGACGCGAGATGATTTACGTAGGCGCGCGCGCGAAATAGAACTGTAATGCTGAGTTCATTGTTGGGTTGTACTTGTCCCCCAGTTCTTGGCTTGCGACCAGGCCAAAGTGACTGCGCAAGCTCAGCAAGCTTCACATTGTCTGTATATCCCCTCAAAAACTTCCAAGTGTTCGACTGGGGACAAGGGCGGTGAGCAAACCAAAGGCCAACAAGCAAGAAGACCGCCAGGTAGCCAAACAACACCAGGTAGCCAAGGCCAATTGCTCCTGGACACCAAGCCACAGCTCAGGAAAAACACTGCCGCCCTGCCCATCGCGCAAACAGGCATAAACCCACCAAAGTCCAGGAAACCCCGAAACACCAAATCGTCTTGTTGGCCCCGCCGGCCGTCCTCCATGGTGGTTTGGCCCTTCTTGAGGAAGGTGGCAAAGCCAAAGTCGGAGAGCTTCAGCAAAGAGGTGCTGAACATGAAGTTGCCCGGCTTAATGTCGCGATGACCTCGACCCCACCCCCAAAGCCAGTTCACCGATCCTCTCCCAACCCATTGCGGAACCGTTTAGTCACATCATCGCGCAAAAGTCATATTCGTGGTGGGTGCTTGGCAAGTTACATCGGTGCAGACTCAGTGACACCAACCAAGGGCACGGCTTTGCATGAACGTACCCAGTACCAGTGTATGCCTCACACTTTGAGTCGCGTGGTCCCGCCTTCTCTTTTTTTTAACGAAGAACCCAAAAGGCGAAAGGGCTCCTCAATTCTGACATGCATGCGCCTCATACTCTCACAAAAGAGCTCTGAGTGCCATTCACAAGAGTTGGGTATACCTTGACAGGCGCCCAATACAAACGCCTGAAAAAAATGGATGACTCCCATCATGATTGAAGCTGGAAACGCCAACATGGGAATGCGACCTCGCCCAATGAACTTGGGGGGGGGTATCAATTGGATAATTGGATAGGCTGCCATCACACACTTCATCCTGAAGATCGGTAGCTCAGATTTTGGTTGTGTGCAAGCATACATACTCAAGAACTTTGCAGGGGGTTGTGCCTCTTGTTGGCAGGTCTCCTCGCCAATATCTTGCAATCGTAGCCCTTGCCATCAACCGCCCCACACCTCTCTTCCCCCTCAAGAAACCCTCAAGCCTCCGAAAGACTCTTTCAACTACTCCGTCCTCTGGACCTGGGAGAAGGCAACAATCATCCCTCTGGAAGCAACCTCAGCCATTGAATGGACCAGAACAGCAAAGAAAACATGCACCACACAAAGGCTCCCTGGAAAGACTGAGGAACCGATGGCCGCGAAGATTTCCCATTAGGTTTTATGGCCGCATACCTTCGCAAAACAAACCACGAGTGACAACAGTCACGATGAAAACAAGTCGCAACAGCAACAGACAGTTCTGCTATACATTCACAAAACCCCAAATGGGCTCACTCCCATTTGGGGCAAGAGTCTTCTTTTTACCGGATCCCAAAAGATCGGCAGACCTTAGGGCCTTAGGGGCAAGTGGCAGATGTCCCGCTCGTGCAAGTGCTTGATGGCACCGCAGATCTGCCGGGTCCAGCTGGCCGACTGCGCCTCTGGCAGCTTTGCGCCTGAGACCGGACTCGCAACTCGCGACCCGGGTGGGATGGGGTGGGGTGGGTGTGCGGCAATGGGGATGCTCGCGGGACTGCGGAACTTTGACAGGGTGGGGTGGGACCGTACGGAACTGCAGCTTGCGGGGCGCGGTGGGGCGGGTAGGGCAATGAATGGTTTTTGCCAGGGGGGCGGAGAATGATGCAGTGTTTTTTGATGCGCCGTGACAAAGCCACACACTCCAAGATCAATCGCCAGTGAACAGGGATCCACTCTTTTTGTTTCTAGTTTGGGGGGCGGGTGGGGTGGTGTGGGGTGGGGCAGCGATCGCGTGCTTCGCGCGGGATTACGTTTATGATGCCCAGCACAGTGGGTTGCGGTTGGTGCCTTGATCCGTGCCAAGTGTTGAGCCGGCTTCCGCAATGAGTTCACCCCACCTTGACCTCAGCAAACGCTTTTTTGGGAACCCCTTACCTTTTGTCACTTGTTTTCCCCCTTTAGCGCGTCGACTTCCTGTGACATATTTAATGGCTGCCAATACAAAAACAGATTGAGCGAAAAGAGGCCAGGTCGGCACGCGTGGCCGGTGTGGGACACGCAGTATTGACAAGGACGAACATTGCGGTGTCAAACGCAAAAACGCGCGGGGTCAGATTCAACGTCTCGTCCTTGTTTTTGACCAGTATTTAGTGGACCTAGCATGTAAAATAAAGTCAAAGTGAATTCAGATTGTGCTGTAGCCCAAATTCCATTGTAGGGATGCGATGGTCATGGCACGTTAACACATCGTCGAACCATCTCTGTGTCGATCCGGGAAGGATAACCCATGGATTCATCAACCCGGCGTTTTGATCAAAACAGGTACTTCCGGGAACGTGGACCTCTGCCAACACATATGCTTGGTGTTTTTGCCACATGTTCGCTTCCAATTGACCACGCGAGCCGCGCCTGAAGCTTCTCTAAACTTGTTGACTGTTCGATCCACCACGGTCATGCAAACCCATGCTGGATCGACCCTCCAACTCTCAACCAGAAAGGAAATTTGCCTGAAACGATCGCCAGTGGAAACTGGGCAACGCATGGCAATGCTCACTTTGAGAGACCCCCAACGGCGCGTGCCGAGGGGCCTCTCTCCTTCAGCTTGTCCTCCAGATCTCCACCGTCACAGTACTCCATTGCCTTGCCGAAGAATCTGACCCAAGCGGCAGCCAGGCAGCCAGCCAGCAGTGATGCCCATCCACCCAACCGGACGGACCACATGTGATGCCTGTGATGAACGACATGAAAATGGTTTATGATGTGCATGAACCTCAGCTAAGAATAAAAGCCTCTGAGACACCGTGTCACTGGCCTTCCAGCACGGTGAAGCATGGTCAATCTAACGTGATGAGATTGCTTGCGCCAGGGTCAGTCCAGTAATTGCTTCAAACATCCGAAGAATTGCTGACGGTTCAAATCTATGATTCAAACAATGCCTTCGAGTGTTGACTGACTGCAACCTGCTCTCTGGTTGGGAACAAATGCTGGTCTTGCACATGACTTACTTTGCAAAAGTTGCCGCTGTCCGCATCTGAGTTGTGCTGAATCATGCCCTGGTTCCTTTGATGTGCAACGGAGGCCAAAGCTACGGCACCTCCCCCGAGACCCCCCGCCGCCCGCGCTCACCCAGCCACAAGGGTGCGATAAAGGTGCAATGGAGATGGAGGAGCTGTCCTCGAAGTAGTTGTACAGCTTGGTGATGTTCACATGGTCACCTGGGCGAATAGGGCAAGGCCCTGATACCACCCCTACATCGATTCCAGGAAGACTACGTGAAATCAAGTGAAATCAAACCGCCAAACGGCAGAGTGATCCCTGGATGCTTTAATACAACAGGTCGAATAAGGAGCAAATACAAGCATGCTCTGAGAATTCCTGCGCAACGCAATCTTGCCATCAATCCGGCCAGCTTCTCTGTGATTGTCATGTTTGCAAGAAGTAAGCATGGGTCTGAAATGGCTAGCGGAATGCTTGCTAGTGTAATTGATGCAATATTACCTCTTCGACTGGCTGCTGATCGTCTTTTGATTTCAGAAACACACACGCAACGCAGCCACCACGACTCGTGAATCATCAAGCGCACTCTCGTGCTTGCAGTAAGGCATTAACAATACCCATAGGCACCAGCACTCATAGGAGAAATGTGAGAATGTTGCACCAAATGGCATTAATCAACCTTTCATGAAGAACAGACTATCCCTTGTCCTCCGTTCAAGTCTTGACTTGCTGTGGTGGCAAAGGCAGACATGTCTGGCACCACTGCATCTTTTGTCACAGTTGTTGGCTTGTGCGGCTCTGCTGCTCTGTCGGCTACAGTCCTTGTATTCATTTTTCCTCCCATGGGCAGATCCAGATCCTTGCAAGAGAAGGCACAATTATTGTCAGGGCGTCACTCTCCTTCCGGTCAGTCCATCCCTTGAATACTGAGGGCCGCTGGCTCACCCACACTGCGTACTATGCATGTGTGTTCCTTTCGACTAATCAAGCCGGGTCGGTTGCAGCGGAATGAATGTATTGTAAAAGTCCTGCTATCAACTAAATCGAACTAGATCATGGCAGGGCTTGCCATTCCGCCTCTCACGGCTAGCTCGGGGGCCGAGGGGGAAAAAAAAGGGAAAAAAAAAGATCCAAGGCAAGCCGAGCGTCATGCTTTGAGAAAGTCGATCTCCAAAAGCAGGTCAGAACGCTTGGCACCTTGCCAATAGGCCTTGCCGCGCGGACTGAGAATGAAAGGATGCAAGCCACATGCAGCGCAGGCATACAGGTTGATTTGCAAAAGTGTTGATGTTGGAACTCTTTTGTTCATGCCGCAAATCTGCTGCCCCCAGCCCTAAGTCTGTGCCAGGTAGTTTTCCGTAGCAAGTCATGGTTTCTTCATAGTCAGGATCAGGCATTTCTCAGGTCTGGGGCGCCACTGCAGCTCTGGGTGAGCTCCCAAATCAAAAGTTCTCAATTGGAGAGTCCATATTTAGTAAATCTGAAACTTTTCAAACGAGCTTCACGCAAGATCCCAAGTTTTTTTTGGGAGGAGTGAGACATTCTGCCATTCCATCCATCGACGCCTTCAGTTTGTCGATCTGCTTCACCGCCACGAAGCGGTGGGTCGTCCGGTCCACTGCGCGCCAGACGGTGCCAAAGCCCCCCTGCCCGAGCTTCACCTTCTGCTGGAAGTACCTGGGGTTGGCTCATCTGAGTCAGAATCAAAACCCGGTATTAAAATGGTCTACCCAGAACCATGTAAAGAATTAAGAAGGCGGCCGCAGCTATTTATGGTTGGGATTGTCCCTTACTAACCTTCATCTACCCGGGTTTTGATTGTGGCCATCCTTTGTTACCAGAGTCAATACAAAAAGGAGCACAATTCTGTTGTTCTCTACAAGCTGGGCTCGGTTTTGCCGGACCAACACAACACGACAGTCTCATGCTGATGTCCTTTTGCCCAAACAGAAGCCGCTTGTTTTGACCCATGCCCTCTTGGGTTCCGTGACGAAGATACTGTGTGGCTTAAAATGGTCAAGGTTCCTCGATCAGACGCCTGCAAATGGTTTCGGCCACCCTGAAACCCAAGTGACTGTGTTTTGGTATGCACGAACACCCATGTGACCCATGTGGCTGTGCAGAAGTAGGAGCCCATCCAGCACTGGCTTGGAAAAGGAACTCCAAATGAACTACCCACAGGCGGATTCTCTTTCTAAGGAAACCGGGCCAAATTGGCACAAACAACCAGACCCTAGTACTGAGAACCAAAAAAGGAGAGAGAGAGGGAGAGAGAGAGAGCGAAAAAGCAAAAGAGTTTAAACAACGGATGTTTAAACATGTCTTAACAGGTCAACGTTGACACATTCCATCAAGGTGCAGGCTCTCCACACTCTGACCCACGCCCATGGAGACGCCGCGTCATGGGCCGCGGGAAGAAGTAAGTGTCGGCAGGCACATTCGGGGACTGCTTACGCATTGTGTTGGTCAAGCTCATTCAACTTTGTCGTGGGTCAGCGTGTTTTCTTTGGGAAAGTTTGTTGCACATCTTGCTTGGGAGTCCAATTCTTGGATGTTGCGGGACAGCTTTTAGCCTTTGTGGATGGATTCACTTCACGTCGCCCGAATTGTTGCTTCGAATTGGTGCGATGACTTCATGCAGCGTCACGAACAGACTCTATGCTGCGTTCCAGTGTCTAGGTATATATGCATGTTTTATCGCAATTATTCTGCTGTGACCGGGCACGCAACATCCAGTGGTTTGGCTGCGCATACGTCTCGGGTACCAGGGCTTTCTTTGGGTATGCAATCCCCCCGCCAACTTGCACAAACAAGCACCTTTCGCTCCCAGAGGCCAAATTGGCCTTTGAGAGGCAAATGACTGACAAAACAACACCCCACCTAGAGAGAAGTCGCCACATCTCAGCGCTTAACGCCCAGACAAACAAAAAGGAAGTCGGCACAAAGCAGTCCGAAAATTCCTTGCAACACATATCTTGCTGTGTTCCATAGTTTTGATTCAATCACAATATGCCTAAGAGTCATCATGACCACGCAGGCGTGCCTTTGGCATCCCATGTCTAGCTACGTACTCTTAAAACGATCAATACAAGCATCCGAAAGGCCGGCGCAGTTGTCTCGGCCATGGGCGTGTGACGTAATCTGTACCATGGAATTGTAGCGGACCGCGGCATGCAGACTAGTAATTTCTCAAATATGATCATCATGGCTCGAGGCCAAAAAGACTTCCGAAAAAGACAGGTGCAAAAAAATTGCTTGTCTCATTTCTAAGTACTTCAAACCTGTTTAATTAAGTATATCGTATCCAGCAAGGAAGGTCAAGTTCGGTTTCTTTTGCAGGACTTGGTTAAACTAACATCACTCTTCCTCTGTCTCGCAGCTTTGCTTCGGACACTTTCCAGTGCAAGTCTCAGATCCAGCAAACCCTTGCAAGCAGGTCATGGTCAAAGCGTGACAACCCCAGCATCCCGGTTGCAAGAAAATAGGTAAGCTTCTCATAAAGTGGGGCATGTGTTGAATTTCACATGATGATTGCCATCTCAAGAGTTGCTGCTTCTTACCAGGCCCAGTCTTAGGGCAAGTAAGCTTTCAACTTCAGCGCATGCAGTGCCGACGGCCTTTTTCACGCTCCTTGGCATGACTCATATCTGCCTCCGCAAAGCGACTGGCTCCACCAACAGCGGAGACACACAAAGCCATGGTTGAGCGAACGTCGAGACTCCGACGCCCATTTGAGGCTTGGCCACATCGTTCAATCTGTGAAACAATCTTCTGACTGCTAAAGGGGCTCGGTGACCTTGCCCAAGCAGGCCAAGCGTTTAAACAATCGCTCATTCTCAGCATGGGCTGAGAATTGCTACCAAACGAAGGATTGGGAAATTGCACTAATTGCGTAAGAGGATAATATGTGTGAATGAAGCTGAACAGCAGGCTCACAACAGAGTGTTTGATCGTGCTTCTTCTGAGCCTTTGCTACAAGTGCAGCTCTCAGGTTGATATAGCTGTGCTACCTTCATGTCTACGTGTTCCAGCAGGCTCAAAAATCCAAAGCCACAATTCAACACAGGAGTACCAAAAGGAGCAATTGAGCTTGTGATTCTGGGCTCTGTTGGCTTTAGTAGCTGACTGCAGTTCCAAACCCTTCCATCCTCAATGCCTTGACCAAGGGGCACTGGGCAAAAACACCGCAAAAGGACTGGCGCACTTTGATCGCGCATTGCCAAACTTCAAAATCATATGACAACGCGCGGATCGCAACGCCACCGCGAGCGGTACAAAATACCGTCCTCTCAAAATGCTTGATAGGCTGCTTGCAGCGGCCTGCACGCACAAGCAGCGACACGGTTGCAAATTGTACACACACACACCACATTGAAATACAAGTCATCTGCTGCAAGTAGACAGTGCAAAATTGCAAGACTTGTCAAGTATCATCTTTTCGCTCTGTTCGCCAACATCGGCCAAATGCCAGTTGGTGCAATGCACCGTGAGGTCATAGTGGAAACCGCCCGCCTCACTGTCTCCACCCTTCTCGAGCATCGTAGTTCACCTGACCTGGGCAACTGGAGCAAGTGAAATCTGAGATCCAAAGCCCCGCCGGGAAGATACTCGAAAAATAAAGAATTGTTCAGGCCAGGGACTCAGCATGGGGTTAGGTTGGGACCATCCCGCTTGCGGGGATGCATGGAGCTCATCTGGCTTGGTTGTGACCATTTATGCCATACCTCGCATGAAGCAAAGCACTTACAGCTACGTCCAAACAGCGCATGACTTTAGCGCTCAGCAGCTTGCTTCCAAGTTCAAACATGCCGGCCGAAGACAAGTATGCCAAAAAGAGAAGCCCCCATTTTTGCTGTCAAGCAGGAGCAATTGGCATACGGCTGACAAAAGCCAATAGGATTGCCTGGCAATGCTGCAATCACTTCGGTGGCCAACAAAGCAACCAACCACTTGCAAGTTCTCATGCCCTTTGGCGTGGCTTGCACTGGGTGACATTCTGCCACGGGTTGGGCCATGGGGTCCCAAGATTCAGCGGGCTTGCAAAACTGGGAGTAAAGCAAATGGCTGATCTGTTTGGTGGGCGCTCAAAGAGAAACTAACCATTCAGGACTACTTTTTGCAATGCTCATATTACGTGTCAAAAGCAGGGCTGCCCCAAAAAACGCCGGCCTTCCTTTGCTTGCAACTTTCAACCAGCCTGAAAATGGTACCGAGCCTCACAACCGCCCCGTGAGCCGATGAACTCGCCACGCCTTGAAGGTACTCGTGGAGCGCCGGCGCCAGGTCGATGATCTCGAAGCGCGAGTCCGGGCCTTTGGTGGCCTTGCGCGCAGCTCAGGTTTGGTCGGCGGCGACTCGTGCACCCCACAGAACCCGGCCATACGGGAAGACTACGGGATGGTGTCTTCTTGTTCGGCGGATTACACATTCTTGGCGCTGTTACCCTTCTTTTTCAGCATTGTTGCCCTATGGTTGGCGTGGTTACCTCACCATCTGCACAGAACCTGGCCAGAGTTCGCCTTTCAGAAGCTTCCTGCCTTGTGCTCCTCGAAAACGCCCACGGTTTCGGGGATGCTGTCCTCAACTCACACGACTAGTGTTGCCTGGATTCTGCAAAGTCCGCTGCGCGTAACCAGGCAAAGTCGGGCCGACCTGCTCATTACGGACACCGAATTTTGCACAAGGCCTTTGTGGAAAACCTAAAAGGAAGCAGTCTGGTCCAAGCGGCTGTGATGAAGATTTTCTCAAAGCCAGCGTTCTCGAACTTCTGCCACGACCTGGGCTCTCACGCGGATGGCTCAGACAAATCTAGATTAGGTGGCTGACCAAATTCAGCGAGCGCGAGCAGCAACTAGCCATGAGCAACTAAGCAAGAAAGCCAGTCAGCCTGCCAGCAAGCAAGCCAGCCAGCCAGCCAAGCGCCGTGCCTCCCGTCCCAACTAACCCCCTTTGCCTGGGCATCCCGTCCCCTGCGGAAAGACCCCGTGGGTCACGAAGACGGAGACCTCGGCAGGCGCTGGAACCCGTTAGGTTGGCGGAACAAACAAGGGTCCTCTGGTTGATTTCAAGCTGGTCTGCCGCAGGGAAGGGGCTCATTCGGGCGAGGTGAGCTCAAACGGATACAGGACACCCTGGTCATGCAACCAGCCTGAGGATAACTAAAACGAGGGACCAGTAAGAAGTTTCAATGGAGGTGATCTCGTCCACAAAGTCGCACAGTCGTGCCTAGTGGATCTCGAGAATGGCAGAATGGTCCCCTCGAATTCAACCAGTGCGCGATCACAAATCAGATGATTGCGAAAGACATGCAGCAAGGCTTAGAGAAAGAAAGAAAGAAAGAAAGAAAGAAAGAAAGAAAGAAAAAAAGAAAGAAAGAAAGAAAGAAAAGAAAGAAAGAAAGAAAGAAGAAAAGAAAGAAAGAAACAATGAAAGAAAGGAAGAAAGAAACAAAGGAATAAGAAAAGAAAGAAAGAAAGAAAGAAAGAAAGAAAAAGAAAGAAAGAAAGAAAGAAAAGAAAAGAAAAGAAAAGAAAAGAAAGAAAGAAAGAAAGACAGAAAGAAAGAATGGGGAACAAAGAAAGGAAGGAAAAAAGAAATAAATAAAGAAAGGAAAAAAGGAAGAAAGAAAGAAAGAAAGAAAGAATGTGAAACAACTATTAATGAAAAAAGGAGAAGGAAGGAAGGAAGGAAGGAAGGAAGGAAGGAAGGAAGGAAGGAAGGAAGGAAGGAAGGAAGGAAGGAAGGAAGGAAGGAAGGAAGGAAGGAAGGAAGGAAGGAAGGAAGGAAGGAAGGAAGGAAGGGGAGCACTGAGACTAAATCTACGTGGAGCTTTCTTCTGTCCGGCCCCTCCCTCCCCGCCTTGGCAGCCCCCTTCTGCGTAAGCTCAGAGCGGCAGGCCAACACAGTACCGCCTACGGTGAAGCGATGGACGCATACCCCCAAGTGAGCATGATTTGTCTCCAAATGGATGGACCTTTTGCAAAGCGGGCTGCGTCAAGTCAATCTTTGCCTTCCCTTCCAAGAAGAGGTACCCTCAAAACTGGAAGCATCCAAAAGATCCCCAAGGGGCCTAAGTGTTTGACACCTATTCAAGGTCACCATTGATATCCCCACTATGTAACCAGCAGATTGGGCATATCATGCAGCTTTTTCACCTCTCCGCAAGCTCACTTTTGGTGCAGTCGGAGCAAGGGTGCCGTGGGCCCAGAGTTGAGGCGAGGACGCCGTCTTTGGGCCGTGTCCTTTTGAAGCGTCGCAGGTCAGAAGTCCACACTCTCCGAGCCAGGTGTGCCAAAGCTCCGTGGACAGCGCGTCCGGCATGCTCCTGCCGCTTTGCTCCTTCATCTGGGGTCTCTCCTCCAGCTATTCGCCGTCACGAATCCTGTCAAGTTGGGCTGTCGCCAACTGCGGAACCCAGACCACGACGTATATCAAGAAGCCCTTCAAACAAGCAAACGAGGCATGAACACCGAGTTTGCCTTTTGGTCTTGAGCCCACATGTTCCACTCCTCCAATAACTCCCGCAGCCAAGCTGTGAGCAGGTAGCACTCTTCCACGCGCCCGGAGTCCGAGGTCTCCAACTTCTGCATGCAGGCGATGGACTCTGCGGAGAGCTGATGCTGCGAGAGGAAGGGATACTCGCTCCAGGGGCCCCGGAACACCGACTCCGTCTCCCCGTCGTCCATGTGCAGGTACACCTGAAAACGAGCCAGAGGGCGCCATGGGTCATGAGCTTCCGAGGCCGATACTTGCGACTCTTTCGGCACATGTTTGAAACCGTTTCAAGGGGAAGCCCCTCCAAAACCAGGGGTAAAGGGGGGCACTTCTCTGGTGTGCGGTTTGTGGGGGGGTCCCTTTCAACACTTCAAGCCGTGGCGCGTGCCGCACAGGCAGCCCGCTCTCTCTGGCACGGCTCACCGCGATGCCCATGGCCTTGTCCTCGTGGATGGTGAGAGGGGGCGGGGAGGGTGGGGGGGGCTTGGAAAAGAAACAACCCCGGTTCCGAGGGGTGATCTTTTTTGCAGAATTTGCAGTGCAACTGAGCTGCGAGGTTTCGCGCACTCTTACTGCTGATGGTGAACATATCGCTGCTTTCATCTCGGGAGTCTGCAGTCCAGCTGTGAGATGCCAAAAGTTACGGCTGATGTGGCAAGCCTGAGCTCATCACGCCAGCTGGCAAGGTCGTTTGCTTGCAAAACGTTGTTCAAGCCCTGAGTCTTGACTGCCTCGCGTTCATTCGTGACTCAGGAAAACATCAAGCTGACTCTGATCCAAACAGTGTTTTTTTCAAGCGAGTTACAAACGTGCACAAAGAAAAGGCTTCATCCCAACAGTCTCTTTGTCTTTGGGGTACTGCGACAGCCCGCAGCAGGGTTCAGCTCCCTGAGCATAGTGCAGGACAGGACCGAACCTCAGAAGCTCCATCTCATGGCTGTGGCCAACGAGCCACAGGGGCAAGCTCAGACCACCAAGGGTGAACCATACGCGTACCCCGAAACCATCCCAAACCCATCACGGTGACAACTGCCGGGTCCTCGTTCCAGGACATGGGGGGTTCCTTGAAGTGACGCACCGCGGCAGCCAAGGACCGGCCAAGCAGATACCCCGGGCCTGCGGATTTGGAATCCGGCCACCGTTGGTTCGGGACCCAAGACGACACAGAGCTGGTGCTCCCCTGATTGTGAACATGGAACCCCCACAATCATAGTAAAAGTGCACTCCTGTGGGACCCGCTTTTGGCTGGAAGACGGATGTCTCAACTAGGATTAAGAAGAGCAAGATACCAAACTGCAGTTGTCGTCAAGGCCACGCCATTAAAATGTGAACCGGCAGCGACCCCGCAGTATGCCGGCCCCATCCACATTTGCAAGGCATTCAACGAGCTGTGAAAGAATCACAAAGGGACCCTGGCTCCTGAAGATGGGATGATCCAGAATCCGGGGAGATGTCGGGCTTGAGTTGGCGCGCTCCACCCGTCGTGGGACGTTGGGGGATCCCTCCAATTCTCGAACTCCAAGAAAGCCCGAAGCGCAGTGGCATGGTTTCTGTGGGCGCTGTGGATACCAGTTTCCAGCTCGGCCAAATCAGAAGCTCCGACAGTCAGTATTTCACCAGAATGCAAAACGATCGTTGCCGCAAAAACAAAAACGCATCCAGCGATTCTCCCTATTGATATATAGTAGATCGTTCAAGTGCCCTTGGGAGAGCGCGTGCTTCATCTGACCTCCTGATGGCAAAACACGAATACACAGTACTTGGGCAAGCAGGCCTGCTCCATGAACTGCGCCATTGAATTTGGACAGGCCGCAAGAGATGCCCGGCACCACACACCCACACACAAATACGCCCATGCGCACACACAAACACCCACCCACCCACCCACCCACCCACCCACCCACCCACCCACCCACCCACCCACCCACCCACCCACCCACCCACCCACCCACCCACCCACCCACCCACCCACCCACGACGCACGCCCGCACGCCCGCACGCCCGCACACCCGCACACCCGCACACCCGCGCACACCCGCCAACAAACCAACCAACCAACCAACCAACCAACCCACCCACCCACCCACCCACCCAACCCAACCAACCAACCACCAAACCAAGGGAACCACAACCCAGCCAACCTGTAAAGCGAGCCGCACACCCGCGCACACCCGCACACACCCGCACACACACACACACACACACACACACACACACACACACACACCCTTCGCAACCTATCGACCGCCATAGGGCCCCGCACTCCTCAAATGACATACAAAAGGCCCCCAAGCTACCGTTGTTGGCAGAGAGTCTGCCCTTGCCTCCTGCCATGTGGAAGGGGTAGAAGTCGTATGGCCAATTCTCCCATGGGTCGAAGTTGGGGCTTTCCTGAGCGCAGGCTTTGATTCTGGATATGCACAGAGGGCAAATCGCAGATTTGAAGCGGCACCTCTCAACTATTTGCCAACGAGCTTGCACTTGGTCACTGCTCTTGTGTTCATCAGCTTTACACTCGAAGTCAATCGATCAACATCCCCATTTCCAACCGGCCAAGGGAACTCTCCCCATATTGTTCTCATCTCTGCCGGGGTACAATGGAGCTTTGTATTGGAAGTCACCCCTGCAACAAGAAAGTCCCCCTCCCCCACACACACAATACACCATTTGGTGATGGGGATGGGGGACTCATGATCAGGACAGAAAGGTCTAACACATATTCACCGGTCTGACAAAAGCAGTGGGCAGTCAATACAACCAGTTCCGTGCAGATGAACCAACATGGAAAAAAGTCTAAAACCAATACTAAGCCAACTCTAAGCAGTGCATACAAGCCAATCTAAAGCGGCAGAAACTGAACGGATGCTTCATGTCTGCTGTCTAAATGCCTTGATTGGACATGGGCATTTAGCATGATGTCCAGGCCCGGAAAGGGACCAAAGACTTCAGGAGGCCTAGTGCGACCCCAATTCGTGGATGCTTCTTCTGCACAACCCCCCCCCCACCATATTCATGTAGGGGGGTCGCTGTACTTATCACTCATGACAGCGTAACGTGATTTCGAATCAATTTGACCGAGGACAGACCTGTCGCCCCCTGAATCCTCTCTGCAACAAGCAAACACAGGCAAGCTTGCGGGGGAGTTCCCTCTAGGTGCCTCATGAACGAGCTTGATATCTGCAGTGCGTCCAACCTTCCTTCAGCCTTGGGCTCTTTGTCCGCGCGTCTGAGCTGTTGAACCACCAGTCGCTGCGGTTCACCATGTCCGGCACCCCGGCGTATAAGAAGTCCACAGGCGGCCCGAGACCCGTGAGGTGCCCGCACAAGCGGCTCCAGGCCACGAAGGAATCGTCGTCCACCTGCGGCGCCAACGTTTTGTGGAGCTCGTGAAACGTCCAAAATTGACCTGTGGACCCGGGGGTAAGGGCCATATTTGGGCCGTACTTCCGGGCACCTTCATAGAGGGATTCTACCAGACTGATCCACCAGCTGAGAAATGCCCTGAAACCGAGGAGAGGAAATTGCACAGGGGGAGAATGCCCATAGCAGTTCCTGTGCGCAGGCGGATGGGATGATCAAACTCCCAAAGGGCCGAGTTGCTAAGGAGACACAGGGTGCCAATCCTGTAGCACAACACGAAAGACAGAGGCCGAAACGGAGAAACTGAGAAGAAAGCCACACGGCAAGAAGAGAAACGAGAAAGCAGATGTGGGAAAAGGCAGAGGAGCATCTCAGAAAAACAAGAAGGGATACAAAGAAGAAGAAGAGAAGAGAACGAAGAGGAAGAAAAGAGAAGAAGCAGAAGGAGTCCTCTCAATTTGGCAATGGTTCCAAACGCCCCCAAGCTTTCCCACTTGCCTGGGATCCTCTATCGCTTGGAACCTCCGTCTTCGTCGACACTAACTGTTACACTAACTGACCTTGACCAACGTTGGATTAGCCTTTCAAAGAAGCCACCCTTTGAGAAACCACCGCACACTTGCCATAGTTGGCCAAGAAGAATTGCGATGTTTCAATCCGCTCTTGCCAACTTGCTAAATGCTGAGGCCGTGCCTCAGAAGTTGCCTCCCCAGGTCCGATCCCAAACTGCCCGTGGTGGCAACCAAAAAAACCCACCCCAACAAAGCTACTCCCCTATTAAGTTGCATACCAACCGCACGTGGCAAAACCGCCACCCGGCTTCAACTTCATACGTGAGACATCAAGACCTCCCTTCATGTGGGGCTGAGCTTTTTCGTCCACCAGAAGGGAAGTTGTACTTCAACTAATTAAACAAAACGCACCTTGAACAGGTTCCTTCACATAGGTGTCCTTTTAGGGAAAATAGATGGCCCTGGTAGATGGTTAAACCACCAAAAAAACCAGGGCCATCGATCTGTTCCTACCAAAACCACCCAAAAAAGGACACCAACACATGGTTCATCTCAGACGGAAGCGATCGAAGCCCAAAGAACCTTCATGAAGATCTCCGACTCATCCGCCAGAAAGGCCTCCAAGGCTGCCCAGAGCTTCTGCACCAAAAACCCCTCGCCGTAGCCTCGAGAGAGTCAGAGCGAGCCCTCCGGGTTGGATTTGGGGCATGGGTCAAAACCCAGGAAACCCCTGGTGAACATCAAAATCGGTGGCAAGTGGATGTTCATCCACCCCAAAGTGGGATCGCCATAGGTTATGCAACCCATGGCCATTTGGGTATGCCTCGTCAAAGATGGGATTTGAAGCCCAATGGATTTGGGTTCCGCTGGCTTCCCTTTAAGCCAAGGTGAAAAGAGTATTTTCCAAAAGACACACAGCCATGGCTGCGTGGGTGTCTCGCCACTTGAGATGAACCGATGTACCTTGGAACCTTGCACGTACCAACCAAAGTGAATGACGGACCGAATTTGATGGAGTGGAGTGTTGGTTTCATTGCTGAAATGTGGAGGGGTTGTTGCTTCTGAGGGGATTGATGGCTCTACATGTGTATAGATATCAGTGTGCATACGCACATGTATACGTGCATATGTATATAGCATAGCATGTAGCCAGAAAGCGAAACACCTATGTGAACCAAATTCCATCTTGACTTGCAATTAACTTTGATTAAAATTATGCTTATGAAGCAATTCCTGATTAAGTTCTCAATCGAAATACATTAAAGTCCTAGTTGGATTATGTCTTAAACTCCAGATTACCATAACCATTCAACTGCAATTATGTCTTCTTCAGTTCAATTCAATGCAAATGTCTATGTCAATCTTATTGAGCGGGATTCACATTGAAAGCGTATGTAAAAATAATAATAATTGGAACTGATGTGTCCCTGGCTATGTTCTATTCATGGAATGGATGTTCTATGTGAAATCCAATTCAAGATAGAAGTCAAATGGAGATATGTCCTTTTCAAATTTTACATATATTGAATATCTATATATATATATTATATTCTGCTAGTTAATGCAAATTTCACTTTGTATGTGGAAAGGACTCCCCGTTTAAAGTCTCATTCAAAACGGAACTTACAATTGAATTACTACCTTATTAAATTCCAATTGATGTCTAATGTTAAACTTGAGTTAGCGTCCAACTTGCAAAAAGGAGCCTTATCAGGAGTCTTCAAAGGAGCTTGAGAAGGAGCTGAAAGAGGAGAGCTTTAAAAGCAGCCTGTCACTCAGCGTTTCCAAGCACCTTTGAGGTTCTTTACAACAAGCCACAAAAATAGCTTTTCACGCATGTTTGAAAGGAATTGTACAAGGAGCCTTTTCAGGAGCCCGACAAGGAGCCTCAAAAGGAGCTGCACAAGGAGTCGTGAAAGGAGCTTTCTACGGAGTTTTATAGGAAGATTTTGAATGCGCTGATGCGGAGCTTGATAAGCAGCTTTACAAGAGAGCATCAGAAGGAAACTTGCAAGCAGCTTCATGAGGGATTGCACAAGGAGTCTGACATGGAGCCTTTGAGCATGTTCATGAGGGAGCCTTGAAATGAGCTGCATAAGGAGCTTCAGAACGAGTCTTGCAAGCCTGGCAAGGAGCCTTCTGAGGAGCGGTATAAGGAGCCCTATATGGGGCTTTACAATGGCCCTTGTAAGGAGCGTTATACGGAGCTTTGCAAGGAGCGAGTAAATGGTTAATCAAAGTCATGAGTGTATTTGCGGTTTGGTGATGCACATCAAAACCACAAAGCAAAGGAACACCCACAAAAATATGATCATCAAAAGAAAACAAGACACAACAAAAAACTCGGAGGATACAGTAAGTTTTGGTTGGGTCAAAAGTTTGGTGTTTTTGTTTTTATCTCAAGTTGCTTCGTTGTTGTTTTGTTGTTTTCCCACAGTTTTGGCGTGTTTTGGGCTTTATTCCCTTCATCGGATCCAAAACCTCGAGTCTGTTGTGTGTCTTTCCTTTTGGCAATCACCAAAAAACAAACGAGCTTCTCCTTTGGTTGTGTGCATGTTATTACAGAAAAATAAATAAAACAGAACATGAGTTATGCTTGTTTGGCTGACACGCACCAACAAACCTCGAGTGATTGTGGCATTTTCTGAGGGATAAAGCGAACAACACCAAAAACCTGGACAACACGCTTCAAAATAAAGTTTGACAAAGCCAACCTTTCTTCTCTGAGATTTATCTTTTGTCGGTGTTTGGTGTCTTTTTGCACAAAAAAAAACATGCTCACAAGGGTTAAAAATGCAAACACAAAGGACTCAGCATTTTCTTGACCCCCCGCATTTTTTTGACCCCCCTCCTTTTTTCTAACCTCCCCCCCCTCTCAACAAGCTGATGGTTCCAGAGTTAAAATAATTGGGGAAATGGTGGAGGCAGTCAAAGAAAGGAAAAGGGGTACACCACTGGGGGGTGGGGGTGGGGGGAGGGAGGGGTCAAAAAAATAGTGGGGTGTCAAAAAAACGGGGAGCCCAAAAACAAACATTGCGAAGCAACACTCCATGAAAAACAGTGTTTGTTTGTTTGTTTGTTGGTTGGTTGGTTGGTTGGTTGGTTGGTTTGTTTGCGCCTTTTCTTGGATTTGCATGTACTTCGGCTGGCCCGGATCGCGCCTTCTGGACAGTCCAGCAAAAGCAGGTCCCCGAAGCGGCGGTTCTCCTCGACCAAACCCTCCTCGTCTGCTCCTGGCAAGCCCACGGAAGCCAGTTTTGCCGGATGGCCTCCCGACATCTGATGCTCAGGCTGCGCCAACTCCACGGACCATCTCTTTGAAAGAACCCCGTTTCCCGATCCTATGGCTGTCAGCTGCGCCCGCAGAGGCGTGCAAACTTGAGTGAGTGAGTGATCCTATGCCCCACAATGGCCGTATAGCCCCAGATCCCAGGAAACATCCACGCGGCCGCCTCGGCACACCGCGAAGCGCGCCACCCCGCAGGCTCCGCGCCACATGGCGCGGGTCTTGGCGCGCGCCGCGGCATCCGAGCGCCGGGAGAAGACGGCGACCCACACCGAGGGCGACCTGAAATGTCAGGCGAATCCTTTTCCTGATTTACCAGTTTTTGTACAGAACGCACAAGCCTGGGCGATGATACATTGAGTAAAGAGGAGTAAAGAACCATTTAAGCTGATTCCTCAACCATTTTGAGTAAAGAACCAACAAGCAGCAAGGGTGGGACAAAGCGCGCTGACCAGCACGATGGCCACTTGGGGCATACGAATGAGCAGACTTGAAGCCTGGGCGATGATTTATGGATGGCCACATTGAGCGCGTTGAACCTGCTTCTCATTTCGGCTTCATTGCCCAACCCACACCTTTCCACTTATTCCCACCCGGGACCCCGCGGGCATTCTGCTGACTGCGCCGCGGCGCGCTGGCTGGCGTCGCAGCAGCGCCAGCACCAGTGCCAGCCCGAGCCCCAGCGCCGCTGTCAATCCAAGCGCGGCTCCGCGCATGGGCGAAAGGGCGAAAGGGCGAAATGATTACGCACTGAACTTGGGGGTTTGCTCAATTTGGGGATTACACGCATGATCACACACACAACCGCTTGGGATCGTGACTTCCTTTGGTTTGAAGGTGCACCGCAACCTCGTCCTTTTATGCTACTACAAAGTCATGCTCCACGTCGGCCATGACATGGTGGCATTTTACGCCATGCCACCGATGTTTGGCTAAAGCTGGCAGCCTGCGAGCCAAGCACCACGGTCCGGCAATCGCGTCGCTTGAGGTTCCAGGGAGTTGAACTGGTGCCTTCAATCCCTGGCCATCTTGGGAACACCACCAATAATATGTTCAGATTTAGTCTACCCTCAAAAAACATGTGATGGAGGCGATCCCAGAATTCCGACAACAAAGGCCCAAGTTGCACTGTGAGTCTGTGCATTTCATGACAAGTCTCCCTCTCCCAAAGAGAAGAGTCACCGCCAGGCCTCATGTCTTTTGCGAAGGGATGCGTAGAATTTGTGCGCAATCAGTGCATGGATCAAACGAGACAATCAGTTTCATCTCAAAAGGGGGAAAACGTCACGGTTGGGCCAACCCCTTGTCTGAACGAGTTTAACCCCCTCTTGCTTCAACAATAATGGCCCTTTGCTTTCTCTGTACAGAGGCCCAACTCTGCAGAACGACGTCGGTCTCAACCCCGGCCTGTGTTGCAAAGGTCGTCCACGATAAAGACGTGCTTGCCTTTGGGGTCCCCTTCGGCCACGCGCACCACACGCTTATCGCCTTCCCTGACCTTGCTGCAGAAAAGGACCTGAAGCGGCATCAAGCGAGGCCAAAACGAGCCGACTATGGCTGCCTGACCTGTGTGATCCATTAGCGTCGCCTGTGATTTGAGGGAGTGGCCATATGTTGACTCGAGGGGTTTAGCCAAGGAGGGCTTGCCCTGCAACGGAGGAGCCCCTGTGCGACCCTGTGCGATGCAAGGAACCCCTCTGCGCGACAGAACTCTGACCGTCAGCTTGGGACAAGGCTCCAAAGGTGTGAACTGGCTGGCTGGAAGTCTTTCGACCGGGCTCGTGGAGCGAGACACATGGAACAGACACTTTCTGAGGATCTGTGCCCTTGAGCTTCGAGCTTTCTGCCTCCGAGTCCTTCGCCCACTTTCCCACCCAAGTCTCCCCGCTTGCTCGGGGAGACGGCATGTGGGCGTGGGTGAAAAAAAACAGGTACTCAAAATGGAACCCTGGTAAATGGGTGCCATGGACGAGAACCTGCGGTCCAATTCCTGGTTTCATTTTGACCCATGTGACTGCGAGGCGCCGGATACCCCGCTTTCTCGAAGAAGCCCCCGAAGCGCTTCTTGGCGCCCTCGTCCGGGAAGGCCACCGCCACCGCCTGATCCACCCAGGGGGGGGGGGGGTGAGGGTCCGGCTGGCGGGATGTGGTTCAATTGTGTCGTTGAGATGGCAAGGGGCCAACTGCCTGTTCACACATATATAAAATATATGTGATTTATATGTACATGCAATATATATATATATATATATATATACACATACATATGCATACATATGTGTGTCAAGTAGCTATGTAGACATGCTAATAAGGCTGGCTCATGTGATACAAACAAACTAAATCTTGAACCATGGCGTGTATCGGAACTGTGGTGACCGCGGAAGCCGCAAATCCACGGCAGCTGCCATAGGGCACAATCTGAATGCACAGATTCGAGCACAAGCAAGTGACAGAGCTCCATGCCGTGAATCCGCAGTCTGGTCTGGACGAGTATTCCCCAAAGCCCTTGTTTGCTCATCTTTGTGAATATTCATTGGCCCGCACCCATCAGTCTTGATGCCTGAATGCAACTTGGACTTTTGTCCGGGAGACTGCATCTAGCAAGTCACATATCCGTTCCCTTTCGCCCTTCCCGCACCTCGGACGCAAAGCCTCAGATGATGCGCTAGGTCGGCAAACTGTGAAACGCGCAAGGGTTGTTGAAGCAAACAGCTTATCAAAGAGAAGGTGTTTGTTGGGTGCTCCTTGTGGTGGACGGATTTGTTTCTCAGTTGAAAAGTGGCTTTATATAAAGTCGTCTGGTCTGCTTGCATGATTGTTGAAGGGTTCTCTTCGCAAAGTCCCAAAAGGCCACCAAAAGATATGTTTCGTGCTTCACCAGAAAGCTTTCGTGTGAAAGCTGCAAACCACAAGGGCAGAAATTTGGACCCGGGCAAAGGGTAATAACAGGAAACTGTCAAACCAATGCTTTTGTGCTCGACCATCGCTTCTAGCTTCAGGGTTGCATCTCTCAAATCGCAGAAAAGCTCAACACCGATGGGAAGCCGCCGTCCGTGGGCCAGGTTTTTGCAGAGGTCCCTAGAGGTCCCTAGGGTGGCCACGTCGCCAAGTTCAGTGTGAGGTACCTATTAAACCAAACATGTCCCGAACAAAACAGCAAAATTCCCCAGGGAAAACTATTCCTCGAGCAGATCCTACCCTCGCAGAGACTTGCACCAAATCTGGCCACAGCCGTGCTGAAAGACCAAATAATGCACGAAGAACTCCTAGTGACATCTCTGCCCGGCTTTTTTAAGGGATCCCGTGAAAAGGACACAACAACCATCACAACCACCAAAACTACAGATTCAAAATGTGCAAACAAACCCATGAAAAGATGGAAACACTAAAGATGGCAACTATAACGTGGGGGGGTCCTGTTGAAGTTCCATAGATGCTAAGCTTCAGCTCCTTTTCACGTGTCGCCATGGATAGAGCATTTGTTGTGCCAGCTGGACTCCGTTACCAACTCGTCATCAGAGATCAATTTGCTGGATCACTCACAACAAACGCATAGATATTTGCCCAAGATGTTTTGGGCAACGGCAAAGCAGCCGAAAAAAAAGGGTCCAGTGCACCTTGTACAGGATCTGGGTTAAGCAGGGTTGGACACAGCAGGGTTTCCTATGCTTTTTCAGTGGCTTAAACATCATCGTTTCTGCCAATTTGAAGTGCGTTTCGGGGTGATGCATAAACAGGAATTTAGGGAGCTCTGGTTGGACCCTCTTTAAAGGGGGCCCAAAAGAGTTCGCCTGCACAACAGAGCTTAAGCACGTTTCAACAGGGGTGGGCCCAAGCCTGGATCCGCACTTAGCTGTGCATTTGGCTGACCAAAGTACTATAAGTCCCAAACCGGACCAAAGGGAATCCTGTCATGAGGGACGGAAATCATAAGCGAGCTTGTTTTACCCCTAGATGAGCTCGTTCTGGAGATTTGGGCGTTGCCCCAGACCAACTGCTGGCTCCCTTGATGCCCGAGCTGCGCGTCTTCAAGAGATTCAGCAGCAGCGGCATGGCGGAGAGGAGCACCGGCAGAATGCTGTCTTGGAAGTAAAACCTCCACTCTTCAGATGCTGCGGCGGCATCTAGGACCAATCCCTTGTGTCTCGTAGGCCATCCCTTATGGTTTCTCATGTGACACGTAATAACAGGAAGCCAACTGCAGGGGGAAACCCCAACACGTGGCTAATACCGTATGAAAAGATTCGTCCACTTGTCAGACTTCCAATGGCCCTTTGACGGATCTTGATGGCCTTGCGGAGCGCGGGTCTGCATCTATCAGCTCTGTGTAGCCTCTAGACTCAGACGCCAATATTCACCAATTGTTTTTCTGATGAATTGTTGCTTTTTGCGCGCGAGGCACGGGGAGACCTACCTTTCTCAGCCTTCAATCAGGCTTGGCCCCCCCCTTTTTCCCCTCCCCCAAGGTCCCCAAAGCCCCCAACTCCGCCACTCCTCCCCCAAAGTCACCCAATCCGCCCCAAGCCCCATTGCCCCGCCACATTTCGTCCCAAGCCCCCAACCGGATCTGCAGCGCGTGGATGTCGAAGATCAGAAACCGCGCCGGGCCCCCGGGGGTCACCGGCACCGCCGAGATCATCCGCGACAGCGTGGAGGCTGTGGCCACCTCCCCCTCGCGGTCCACCCGCCTAAGGCCGAGCGGGCCGAGCCGAAGAAACCAAGCGGAAACGACCGCAGTGTGCGCTTGTGTCACTCTCTGCATGCATCCACAATATAATTCTCCACATATATAGATATATATATATATATATTTATCGAGATATATACTGCTTTCTCCGAGGTTCCCATAAAAAAAGGCAAGAAACACTGCAAATACCAGTGAACTCTTGAAAAAGGAAGGTCCCTGGAGCGGGGGGGTGCCATATAATATATATATATATATGTATATATATATATATTATACACTAGATATAACAACTAAAACAAACTCCGACTTAGGTTTGTGGGGAACCACAAGGGCAAAGGGGCCAACATTGGGTGGGTCCTTCTCGGCCCTAGTCTAAAGTTACACCCTAAGCAAAAACGCGCAGACACACACACACACACACACACACCAACTAACGAGGGGTGCCGAGCTACCCAAAAAAGGCCTCGATCAGAAAGGCTAAGTTGGGAGCTGGGAAGGACTGAGCCCGGGCATTTGCTCCTGGAAGCCTTGCAGGCAAATCGCAAGCACCTCTTTCGAATGCAGCGGTTGCTGTGACACAAAGGTCGAAGATATGCTTATTCAAGCTGACAGACTATGTGGCTACCTCAAAGATCAAAGCTTGCTGGAGTGAACTAATCCATTTCCACGAATCATTCTTTGAGTGGATTCTGCATGGTGCTTTCTGATCCCCTTTACGGAGACCGGAGACCACCTGCATGCGTTGAAGCAGCCATCTTGCACCTATAATAAAGCTGTTCTCTTGTCCAAGCTGAAACCTCGGACAAGGCGCAAGCATAGTGTCCTTCAGGTGAGTTTGGCTGAAAGTAGATGGCACTGGTACATATCGACCAGTTGCATCAATTTGCCAAAAGTACCTATTTCTGAAATCATAAAACTCGCAAACTTCACACCTTTCGGTCTGTACATCGGGAGACTGCCGGCAACAGCTTGTCGAGCTGATGGCCGGCAAAAAGGCTTGCAGCAAGTGGCCACGGGTCTTGCCTGAAATCTTGATAAAGGAGATCTTGAAAGAGAAGGCAGGCCGAGAGTTTGTTGTGACCAGACCAACAGGCCCTACAAATCTCAACATAAGCAAGCTGGACAAAATAGGAAGTACTGTGAACAAAACAGCTCGAAGTCTGGCTCAAAGATCAAATACCTGCGAGTTCCCTGCCAGCAGCGAGGCTCTTGTGGACCCTGTCATGAAGCTCGCGCATGAGGAAGCGCTGCGATCCTTTGCCCAGATTTCGGCAGTGGAAAGAGTTGAGCGCCCAAAAACCCATTAACTTTGAGTTCTACTCACATGGGTTGCAAGGCTTTCCTTTCTTTGACTTCCTTTGATGGCATGCACTGGTATCGCAAGGAGCACCTCAATCCGAAAATACCATAGACATCATGTCCTTTCTTTGGTTGCTAAAGGGGCACATAAAGCAAAAACAAACGGATGAACATCACGTCCTTGCGTTCCAAAAGACCAACAGGATGGATTTGAACGAGAAGGACTATTGCTCTCAAAGCTTGAATCGGGACTCCGACTCGGTCTGCTTCTCTTGGTCGGCCTCTGTTATCTGGTCCTTCTTCATCTTCTCCATCCGATCGCGGCGCTTCTGCCTCGTGCTGCTCCGACCAAGAATCCAGGGACACATTTGGCCATGGGTCAAAATCCCGTATCGTGAGCATCCCAATCCCCACTAAAATAGGTTCTAAAATGGGTGGTGCACCTACCCCCAAAATGGGATCCCACTGGTTTTGACCCACGGCCATTTTTCTGAGAAGGGGTTGGCGCCCCTTTCAGATGGTTCCAATCCCGCCCTCCCCAAGCAAAAGGCCCGCCCGTGCCTCCGGTGCAAAGTGTGCAGCCGATTCCGTCGCCTCTGCGCCTCTTCCCGGCCGCACAAGTGGCAGTGGTTGCACGCCTCACCCTTCCAGCAACCATCCTCCTGCAAACAGGGCATGGCATATACAGTCAATCTTCCATGGTGAAGCTAAAGCAGCCGGAAAATGTGTGGATTGTGTGGGATCGACAAACATTGTAACCAGGGCTCAGGGCCATAGCCATGGCCCATTCGGAGTTTTGAAACACTCCTTCCGGGTGTGGAAGAGGCATGGCACACACTGGCCGGACTTGTGAAGCTGAAACCTGGCCATGCTGGGAATGGGCAAATTGGAAGGCGTCGGCCCGCGAGGAAAGCGCGACCCCTTGAGGTCCACTGCATCCCGAGTCAACCCAGCAGAGTGTGCCATGACTGCTTGAAACCCGGCGAATTCGCCGGCGATGGAAGAGCTATGCAGCTTGAAAACTGAGCCAAAAACCGGCTGCAGAATATGCAGCTCCTGAATTAGGCCCTTGTGTTGCTTGGATGTTGCACTCTTATTGTTCAGGAAGAACTAGGATGGGGTCAATGGCCAGCGTTGGTACAAATGTGATTGCAAACTGGCCTACCCAACCCATGTAAAGAATCAAAAAGTCTCTTCTACCCATGCATGGCTGGGGTTATCCCCTACTAACCTTCATCTACCCTGGGTTTTGACTGCGCCTCAACTGTTTGTGGAACATGGTAGCACGCAGAAGCAGAAGCAGAAGATTCACAGGCGCCTCTCGACACAGTGTTCTTTCAAGATCCCGTTGCTCGCAGTTGTCTGTTAAGGGCGGGTAGAGTCTCACCGTGTCAAGAAAGGGCATGTTAAGATTTAGAAACCTGTTTCAAGCCCCGTGGATTCGCCAATCACTCGAACAGGTGAAGCATTCTTCTAGTTGCGCTATTTCGTGCGCGGTCTTAAGGTGGCCACCAAACAAGGCTTGATGTTCATATGCCACTTTAACAGGCAAACGCAAACAAAGCTCGCAAAGTAGGTCTGGGAGGCTCTGAACCTCAGGCTTGCCTGCTTGAATGCCACATTCTTGATCTGATAGCCAAATATGTAGCGATACTAGCTGTCTCTTTGTGCGGTTCTTCAAGTACTGTTCAGGTTGTCAAAGTGTTCCAGGTCGTGTTGCAGAGATTAGTTCTAGGCCAGTGCAGGACTCGCGGAGCCAGGGGAAATACAAAAAGGGGCTTGCAACTGTCGGGCAAACGCATCCACTTTCTCCTCGTGTTTGGCAAAAAAAAAGAGATGGCAAGTTGGCTGGACTGTCACAGGCAGCCCACTTCAAAGTCTAGAAGCCATGTTTTCATTAATCACTAATGCGGCCCACAATCCCGAACCCATGCTTGTCTGCTTGTGTCCAAACTTCAAGGGCAAACCTTGTTCCGTGTCACTATGGAACGCTTTGACACAGGTTTGACATGATTTGTTCTTCTTGCTCATTGAGTTTGGCATGGTTGTGACACACCAGTTTTGACAGTGGTTACTATTTTTTGCGGCGAGCGTTCTCTCGCTACTTGATGCGCATGTTCTCTCGCGCAACTTGCTCTGCGTGAGCCATCGTGCTTCTTGCCGCGCGCATGTCCTCGTGCTACTTGCTCTGCGTGCGCTCTCGTGCTACTTGCTCTGCATGTGCTCTCGCGCCCTACCTGATCCACATGCGCTCTCGTGCTACTTGCTCTGCATATGCTCTTGCGCATATTTCTGCGCGTACTCTCGTGCTACTTACTCTGCGTGCACGATTGCACATTGCTCTGCGTGTGCTCTCGTGTGTCTTGCTCTGCGCGTCTGTGTGCTGATTCACAACAAGGCTGGCGGTTTTACTGGAAGAACTCTTCGCAATGCTTTCAGGAGAAGCACGAATTCATACGTCACATTTTGCTCCAAGGCACTCCATAGTGCCGGTGGGAAAGAAGGGCAGCAGCACCGTCAGCGACCGGCACCCATACCGGGGGATGGCATACAGCAGCGACAACCTCGGTCAGTCCCGCGAGCCAAAGGAGCGCCGTGAGTGGGCCAGTGGGGAGAGCGAGGCTTTTCTCGGGTCGGAGTTCTCTGGAAATTGAGGGTCTGGGACAAAGCGGCTGCGGTCGAATATTGGGTTGATGTTCCATTTCCGGCCCAGGGTCAACACCGGCAGGCCTTTTGGGCGCTTGTTGCTTTGACCCCGAAGCAAAGAAAACAGTGGCGCCATTTGGGTATGGGTGAAAATTAAGCCGCAGGTTTTAGTCCTGGTTCCATTTGTCAGGGTAACCCATTTTGGGCGCACGGTCCCAGTCCACCAGGTCTCCCGGCTGGTCCAATAGAATCTCCTTGCCTGGGCTGGGAAATGAGGGTGGCCCAAGTGACTTCAGGCTTTGGCTAGGTGACTGCTTGTAGCTCAAGAATCAAGGGGCCTCGGCAGGCCTGAAAAGGGAAGTGCCCTTGGATTCGTTGGTTACACCCCCGCCCCGCAAACTGAAACTTGCTCACTTCCTCGCCCGTTGCTCCAAAATTGTGAGTTTGGCAGCGTGCCAAGGAATTGACAGTGTCAAGGAATTGGATCCTGCAGAACCCCAACATGCTGAGACGCCGGGGAACAGCTATCTCTGCTACCTCTGGCCAACCTGAACTGCCGCACTCAGCTCTGCGCGCCGCATGTTCAGCAGCAAGAGGACATGAGCAGGAAGAAGCTTGTGCACCTGCTCGATGAAGATGTTCGGCATCCCAGATTCAAACTCGCCTCAGCTCCGCTTGCCCCCTCTCAACCAGGCACAAGCAAGCAAATGGCAATGCTCTTGATTCCTCCTTTTGGATAAGACACCAACTGCCTGAATAAACACAAAAAAATGCATCTCGAGAAGCGCATTGGGCCTGGGTCCCTCGTCGGCATCAAGGATCAGTTTGCATTAGAGGCGTGACTCTCGTGGCCCAAAGAATCCTGAAAAACTTCACGCAAACCTCCGGCAGCCCGTGCACTTCACCCTTGAAATGCCAACCACAGGCATTGAGCCATGACAAGATACGTATTGATGCATTCTTCGTTTCAACCAGCCATTGCTGTTTGGCGACAGCTCTGACTTGGCACATGAGAGCCAAGCAATGCGAATGTGTTGGCAAGCCCTGCAATACAAAGATGCCGGTCTAACCTCTTTCAGCATACAGTAAGTAGGCGCTCAGCCAGAGATGGCGCCCGACCGCAAAACCAAAGCAGAGACCGAACAGGTTCAAGAAGGCTTGGAAACAGAGCACAAATCAAGACCACTGCAGGACCAGGCGAACAGTGAGAGCAGTCGTACCACGACCCGACCCACAGGAGGAGCCCACGACGAGAGAGAGAGAGAGAGAGCCAAAAGCCAGAAGGGTCCACGAGCAACCGGTGCCGTGCAGCGCCGTGGCTTGCCCTGTCGTGCAGGGCGGTGTGGCGCCGCCCTTGAGTCGGTGTGATGTTTTGTCTATCTTCCTTCTTAACCTTGATTTTTATTGGGGACTTCGCCAGATCCCCGAGGCAAAGCTCTAGGGTTTGATTCCTTGTCCATTCTTTTCAACCATCGTTCTTTGCAAAAACCGGCCGTTTCCCCTGGGTTGATTGAGGATTCTTAGAAGGAAGGATCCCTGGAAAAGAATGGAAATGGAAGGTACCCCTGGGCAAAGCAGGCAAAGCCAACTGCCCTTGCCGAGTCGCGCCAGTCTACTCCGACCTGCGGGCCCACTGGATCAAACAGGCTGGACACAACGGTCCAGGGATCTAGGGAAGCCGCGGGCTTGAGAATCTGTTTTTTGCATTTTTCAGGCATCTCTCAGCTCCAAATGACCATGGTATCTTCGGCCTCTCTATGTTGATCCATGTCCTTTTGGTCCGCATCCCGTGAGACATAAGGCGTGGGCTTGGAAGAAAGGCATGACCCTGCTGTCAAACCTCAAAAGGATCGACTTGCGATGCCTCTGTGCCTCAAGATTCAGCCCAAAGTGACTGCTCCACTCACAAATCATGGCCTTCAGCCAAGGTCAAAGATGCTTCGTGCCAAGGTGCGAAATCTCAGAGGGAATCTATCTTTGCGCACTTGCAAAAGAACATGTCTTTCCCCAAACCTATGTTTCTTCAAATACTTCAAAGCAAGCCAATAGGCCCACAAGATTTCAAGCGCAAACGGCCCAGAAATCTCCCGACATCTCGAGCGCAAGTCGCCTCCGTGTAGGAGCCAGGGTCCAGCTTCATGAGGGCATCCCTCAGACATGCTGTGGTTGTCAAAACTATGGATCCCATTTTGCGGTAGGTGCACCACCCATTTTCGAACCTGTTTTAGTGGGGATGGGGATGTTCACTGGGGGTACGGGAGCTTGACCCACGGCCACATGGAATGGGTGGCTTCTCATATTTTCGAGGGGTGTGGTCTGCTTGTCTGTTTTGAGGGTACCTCTGTCCGGGCTGCTCTTTTTTCGGGACATCAGTGCTCTGTTTCCAACCCTGCTTTTTCAAGCGACTTGTTTGGGCCCCTGAAAGATCGTGGTGTGTGGTGGCATTTCACGACCAAAGGCCCACCCCTCGCACCCTTGAAACAAAGCAATCTTTGCAATATGATCGACATCTGAGTTGAGTGTCGAAGATGAGACCAAACATCTTCACGCATGTGGGTGATATAAGTGGAACACGCAGCTGTTCTTCCTTGCAATTGGACACTGGTTGTCTTGTTATACGCTCTCTGTGACACTCGACAGCGCTGCGCAAAGAGTTGGTGGTTTGCTGTGACTCCCATAGCACGGACCTTCTGTGGTGAAAGCGCAGGGCAAATACCACATGAAATTCATGTCCCAACAGAACGCAGCCGACACTCGCAACCAGGCCAAGTGTCTCTTAAACCAAATGTCAGCATCAAAAGTCAGGGCCTTCAGGCAGAATGCTGGGAAAACCGTGAGCAGCAAGCATATTAGCAACGATCAAGGGCATCATCGAATGAATGAGTCGTCCTGATCCAGTGGGAGAGTGTCGGTGTTTTGTCGGTGTCTCCACCTCATGGAACTGAGAAAACAAGAATCACGGGCCAGTCTGGCCAAATGAGAGAGGTCAATTGCTGCAAGCGACAGCTTTCGCTGGCACAGCATGTGAAATCAGAAGACTCAAGGACATCGCCCCACTCACCTTAGGACACCAGAAACAAAAGGTGATTCAAACCGAGGCGCTTGATGTGGTACATGGACGGGTGCGACACGATGATGTACTTGCTTTGCCGAGATTCGGAGAGCGTCACCTGCGGCTTTGGACAAGTTGGGGCAGCAGGGCAAACCCACCCGCACATCTGACAGGCAGGCGAATAGGTTGCTGCACTCTGCACAGGTTGACCGCAGCCTATGTCTACATGCTTGCATTCGAATCAGAAACATCAGCCCCTCACGCCTTCTTTTTAACAGCACCATCGGCACCTGCGGATCTGCGGACCTATAGTCGGACGCGACCCCCCTAGGCATCATACGTCGTGCGAGAAGCGGCACTCGTCACCGAAGCGGCAGCTGCCGTTGTCGCGGAAGTCGAAGCAAATGCTCTTGCCGCCTCCCTTGCCGCCGCCGCCCTTGCTGCCCTTGCCGCTGGGGCAGTCCCGGGCAAAATGAGGCCCGCCACAATTGAAGCACTCCACACTTTTCCCACCGGACTTGCCTCCTCCTCCCTTTCCTCCCTCGGGGCAGTCGCGTGCAAAATGAGGCCCACCACAATTGAAGCAATCCACGCTCTTGCCACCCCCCTTCTTGCCCTTGTCTTTGCCCTTGCCCTTGCCGCCCTGGGGGCAGTCGCGCGCGAAGTGGTCGCCACCGCAATTGAAGCACTCCACTGGACCTCCCATCTTCTAGCTCCGAACCACGAACTTCAGATGTCAACACACCCTCTGCGTGCAGCTGGAACCGAATTCTTGAGCCGAAATGGTACAGTGCTATGTGTTCGGAAACAGCCCTCGAGGGCAAACTGACAAAGCGACATGGAAGAAGTCTTGCCATACACTTGCATGCTAGCAGTACCTTGAAAGAGCTGATGCCGCGCCTCTCAATCTTATGGTATGGTCGTGATTGGCAAGCGACGGGTGATTCAACTGTTCTCAAACCTGCAAGATGCAGGATGCTCTTCAACCAAGAGGGCTTGGCTTGGCACCGGAATCCTGAAAGGCACTTAAATGAGACTGGTCATGGGATGGAATATGCTTGCATACAGCAACTTCGACAAAGGTCCCAGGCCCGCCTCAATCTGCCTTGCAACCAACTCTTGCAGGTTGCTGGGCAAGCCATCCACTTCCTGAGTTGCCGAAGTCGTGATGCCACTTGCCCAAAATGACAAAACCTTCACGGAAACATGTTCTTTCCTGAGTTGCAACCTGGAGGCCCACGCAGGTTCGAATCGAAAAGGTCAAAATTAGTAGATTTGCAGTGGGAAAAAACAGGCTGTTTTGGTTTTGCAAGGTGACAGCTTCACAGGCTTTCACAATTTCACACCCTAAATTCGTGCGACGCTCGTCGGGCGGAAGTCATGAGACAGGAAAGGGTTTCATTACATAAGGGAAGCAGAAAGAACCAAAGGGAGCAAGAAGGGAGAAAGTGAGGAAGCTCTAGAGGGGGAAGGGGGAACAATCAAAAGGAACAGAAACAAAGGAAGGAAGAAAGGAAGGAAGGAGGGAAGGCAGGAAGGAAGGAGGGAAGGCAGGAAGGAAGGAAGGAAGGAAGGAAGGAAGGAGGGAGGAAGGAAGCAAGAAAGAAAGGAAGGAAGAAATGCATGGAAGAGCGAGGATTGAATCGGGACAGAAAGGAGAAAGCGAGGGAGGAAACATCGGATGGAGACAGAAGGGTGCAGCAAACAAGCAACTTCCAAGAAGACAAGTTGTAAGAATGCCAATGCAGCTACATCTAATAAAAATGCAAGAAAGGCAAACGCGTTCAATTGATCATGGGTCAGAAGCGAAGAAAACATGGCCCGAGCCGTCTTGGCCCTTGTTAAACTCAGTTGCCCAAAGGATTCAAAAATAAAAGGCTAGCCTTTTGGAGCCGTGACTACAAATGGACCAAACTGGGGAAACTAGAAGGTCAAAAAGGTCAGCTTTGGGCAAGTAGATTAGAATCCAGCCATGCCCCCCCCCCCCGCCGCCCCCGCTGCTCCTGGCCCTTTGCGGCCGAGATACATCCAAGGTTCGCTTTCTGGAGGTCATCATGCAAACGGAAGGCGACACAAGTCTCTCTGGAGTCCCTCTGTCAGGCGACTGCTCTGCCTCAGGTCTCTCCTGTGAGGATGAAAGGATTGCACAGGGATGTTGCCATCTGTTCACAACATAGCTGGTGGTGGATCTGAAGGATGCTTGTTGAATGTTGCAGTCGTATGTATTAGTTCTGTGCACATCCGGTAAGCCGAGCAGCTGTTTCCGGCAACTGATCCATACTCACCTCCGCAGTAGGCTCACTTTGCTCGGCAATCAAACCAACAATACTGCTCTCAGTCAAGTCAGGGTCCCATGGGACCGCAAACAAACACCTACTGTAGAGGCCCCAGGGCAAATGGCTATGACTTGGATCATCTCAAGCCTTGTGATTGTTATCGCCAAGAACACAACAAAAAGGGACTGTCAACCAAAGCGTAGCTATTGCACGGTCGGTAGGATGCGCATGCTGGCTTTCAACGCCCCCATCTGGCGGCACTTTTACGCATCCCACGGTGGTCCGCAGCGCACGCTGCGCTCGCTCCCGTGAGGGAACTTGGAACTCTTCATTACTGTACGAGTGGGATCTGAGGCTAAACGACTTGCTTTTGATAGACAAACCTTGGAGCCTGCACCGGCGTTGACAGTCTTTGACCACATACATAAATGGATCAAGCAAGCATCTGTGCTTCTGCATGCGATTCGAAGAAGAAAGTATTGAAGCATGTGAACTCTGCTTCAATACAGATTGGTGCTGTGTTGGCCTAGTAAGATCCGCTGGATTTTATCCATCAAAAGGGTGTCTGGGCGCCAAACGGCAGACTGTCTTTTCAAGATGTCATCCGCTGTTCGGGCTTCTACACAGTTTGAAAACACCAAAATAGGGCTCTGCATGTTTGCCAAGAACAGCCATGTCTCATCTCAGCGACCTGTACCAGAGTCCCACAATCGGACATGTGGGCGGCGGTTTCCAGCGCTGCATGCCGCGGTTGGCAAAGCCGCGCTATCAAGCACACTGCGTTCCCAACTTCTGTCTCTTCATGTCGCTTACCAGCTGCGGCTGCTGCTGAGACGATTTCAGTCTTTCCCACTGGTCAGGAGTATACACCTTCATGCGCGGGAGCGCATGGATCTCTCCAGACATCAGCTCTTTGGCCAAGGCCCCGTTCACCAGCTGCTGCCGCTGCAGGGTCTTCATATTTGCGAAGCTGGAGCTGACCACCAAAAGCTCCAGCTCCAGCCCGTTGGGGTTCAGAGCCCTCCTACCTAGGCCAGACTCTTCAAATAGGGAGAAGCGAAGGGAAAATGAAAAGGAAAATGAGAAGGAAAATGAGAAGGAGACATGAATGATAAGTAAGCCAAGTCCGGCAATGCTGCTACCATCCAAATATCCCACCACCGCATGGCCGTTGGTCACATCCTGCACCTCCAAATGCTCGATCTGGCTGATGGCTTGCCTCAGCCTGGGCTCCACCCACTCCCTGGCGTCCCGCACGTCGCGCTGGAACCATTCCTGGAGTGCGTGTCTTGTGTGAGTTGGTACACTTTTTGGGAAAAGGGCAACTCCCATTTGCGCACCCAATTTTGATACATACCCTCGGAGGGCCCAAGGGCCAAATAGGCAATAGTTTCCCCTCCGACCAAGCCCCCCTTGGAGGTATATGAATAAACTCGGATAGAACAAATTGGCCCCGGCAACAGGAAAACATGAAGGAAAGAAGTTGGTTTGGCCCTGCGGATGTCACTCAGTCTTCAGGCAGGTGATTGAAACAACACCGCGGGGTGTCTCAAAGAAAGCAAGGCATTTCATGGAGAGGGCCATGAGACACTGGGGTGGCTGAAAAAAGGAGGGACAAAGAGCAAATTTGGTTTGCATGGTTCAAGCATCAAACTACGCAAAGCCGAACGTATGTTTCTCGCTGACCTTTTTGTGGATTGCGATGCATGCCGCCTTCAAGGCCATTTGCCTAGTTGTTTCGAACTCAGTGGACATGAACTTCCAAAATTGATGTCCAAAGGGTCCTCAACAAATTCATTCCCGTTTCGGGGGTTCCCATGGAACTCGGCACTCGCATAGTTGGCCATTTGGAAAAATGGATGGCCCTGGTAAATGGAATAAACCCCATGTAAACCAGTGAGACCCATCCATTTTTAACCAAACTAACCTAAACCAAGCCAACTAAACTAAACTAAGCTAACTAACCTAAAAACTAACCTAAAAACTAACCTAAACAGGACACCTACGGTCACCCGTCACTCACCCCACTCCTCCGGGGTAAAGGTCTTCATCTCCGGCAGCGCGTGAATGGCGCCCTGCGCCAGCTCCCGCTGCAGCGCCGAGTGGACCATGCGGTGCCGCTGCAGACGCGGCAGCCCCTGGAAGGCCTGAGGAAAAACGAAACGGAACTTGGGTGTGGCTTCGAGAACTGATGGGGGTTGCAGGGCTGAGAGTCTCAAGTCGTGTTGGTGTGTGCCTGGTTGATTGTTTGGTTGGTTGACTGACTGAGTGACGAGTGACTGGCCGACTAGCTGGCTGACAGGCTGATTGACTGATTGATTGCTTGCTTGCTTGGTTGGTCGGTTGACTGATGGTTAACTGATTGACTGGACGGGATGGACGGGATGGATGGGATGCATGGGATGGGTGGGATGGATGGGATGAATCGGATGTATTGGGATAGGATGGGATGGGATGGGTTGGGATGGGATGGGTTGGGGTGGGATGGGGATGGGATGGGGATGCGATGGGGATGGGGATGGGGATGGAGATGGATGGGATTGATGGGATGGATGGGATGGATGGGATGGATGGAATTGATTGGATAGATGAATGGGAAGGGAAGGGAAGGGAAGGGAAGGGAAGGGAAGGGAAGGGAAGGGAAGGGAAGGGAAGGGAAGGGAAGGGAAGGGAAGGGAAGGGAACGGAAGAGAAGGGAAGAAAGGGAAGGGAAGGGAAGGGAAGGGAAGGGAACGAAAGGAAAGGAAGGAAAGGAAAGGAAAGGAAAGGAAAGGAAAGGAAAGGAAAGGAAAGGAAAGGAAAGGAAAGGAAAGGAAGGATGAATGAAGGCAAACAGGGAGGGAGGGAGGGAGGGAGGGAGGCAGGGAGGGAGGGAGGCAGGGAGGCAAGAAGGCAAGAAGGCAAGAAGGCAAGAAGGCAAGAAGGCAAGAAAGCAAGAAGGCAAGAAGGCAAGAAGGCAAGAAGGCAAGAAGGCAGGAAGGCGGCAGGAAGGAAGAGCGGAAGGGAGGAAGGGAAGAAGGCAAGAAAGCAGGAAGGCAGGAAGGCAGGAAGGGAGGAAGGAAGGGGCAGGAATGAAGGAAAGCAGGAAGGGAGAAAAAGAGAAGGGGAGGAAGGCAGCTGAACAAGGCTGGCCTGCCAGCCAGACAGCCAGCCAGGCAGGCAGGCAGGCAGGACTGACTGACTGCCGCACTGACGGACTGACAGACTGACGGACTGACGGACTGACTGACGGACGAACGGACTGACGGACTGACGGACTGACGCACTGACGCAGTGACGCAGTGACGCAGTGACGCAGTGACGCAGTGACGCACTGACGCACTGACGCACTGACGCACTGACTGACTGACTGACGGACTGACGGACTGACGGACTGACGGACTGACGGACTGACGGACTGACGGACTGACGGACTGACGGACTGACGGACTGACGGACTGACGGACTGACGGACTGACGGACTGACGGACTGACGGACTGACGGACTGACGGACTGACGGACTGACGGACTGACAGACTGACGGACTGACGGACTGACGGACTGACGGACGGACGGACTGACGGACTGACGGACTGACGGATGCACGGACGCACGGACGCACGGACTGATGGACTGACGGACTGACTAAGTAATTGATGAGTGGTTTGAGCGCGTAATTGTTGAATTGGTGGCTACTTCCTTGCTCCTGCGCTTGTTTCACTTCTGAGTGTCTGTCTTCTTGTCTGTCTGTTTCTCTGTCTCTCTGATTCTTCTTATTTTTGTCTTTGTGTCTTTGTGTCTTTGTGTCTTTGTGTCTTTGTGTCTTTGTGTCTTTGTGTCTTTGTGTCTTTGTGTCTTTGTGTCTTTGTGTCTTTGTGTCTTTGTGTCTCCGTGTCTCCGTGTCTCCGTGTCTCCGTGTCTCCGTGTCTCCGTGTCT